AGTGAGCACTTGAAATATGACTAGCGTCTGAACTGAGTTTTTAATTTTATTTAACTTTAATTTAAATTTAAAAAGTGATACTCGATTCAGTTATTGTAAAATTTATTTGGGACAACTTGAGTCTATGAATTTACTTTTTCAACTATAACATTTATGAAATCTAAACACAGATCAAATACTTCCAGGTAAATTTTGCACCATCTTGAAATGCACTATAACTATAAAATACATACTGGAAGTAAAGTAGCTCAATGATTTTTCTATACTGGGTAAACGTGAAAATATTTTGTATTAAGTAAAATATATTATTAAAACTAATTTCATCTGTTTACTTTTTTTAATAAGACTACTAGAAAATTTACATACAGCTTGCATCATATTTCTATTGGACAGTGCTAGTCTTTACAAACACAAACTTATGAAACTGACACATTCAGATACAAATTATAAAATGCTATTTCATTCTAGGAAAAGATTACTTTAAACGGAAGACATCTCTGTTGCCTCTAAAACGCAATCATTTACATATTTAAAGTATATACAATTTTTTAAAAAACATGGATAGTAGAAAAACTATATTCCTGGACTATTTCACAAATAAAGCATATGAAATCATATTGTACCAAAAATATTAACAGTGAATTCAATGATACATTTAATACATAACAAAAAAAACAAGGCTGGCATCTAACACTATAAGATCAACAGAAGATAACTAATGCCCTAGATAAACTTCTCAAGGGGATTTAACCACAGGATTATGATCTAAGAAGATCTATGTCAGCTATTTAAAAGAGCCAAAAAAAAAAAAATAGACCAAGTGTTTAACAATTCAGGCATCAGAGGCAGCAACTAGTGAAAGTCATTCAAAGCGTTCTTTTCCTAAAAAAGGTGAAAAAAATTATTAAATCTCAAAGAATTGGAAAGATACAGAAAATTTAAAAGCAGAGAGTTTGATAAAAAAGTTTAGTGACCTATTCTTTAATCACAATATGTAAAGGAGAAAAACAAAGACTCACATGTTCTAGAAAATAGTGCTTGCTTGAATAATGGGATGACTACATAGATGGATACTAATTTCCAATAAATGTTAGGTATTCTAAAAAGGGTCTGCCTATTGCCACGGAATACAGAGATCCATTTATGTGACAAGCATAACAAAAGAAGTATGTTTTGGTGGGATTATTTTCTTCTGTTGCTTTTACCCACCTTTGATGTTTCAACTCAAATCATATTTAGAGGGAGTTTCTCAGCAAATGTTAGCAAATCTTCAGTTACTTAGGCTTCAGAGAATATGAATGAACCATGTCCCTTTAAATGGTAACCTAGCAACTTGCTGAGGGGATTAGAACACAAGGACCCTTAGGGAGGGAGGAGGATTCAAATCCCAGAAGCAGGTGCTCACCGTCCTCTGAACTCCTGGCTTATTATGGGGCAAGGACTCCTGGCTTATTAAAGTCATTTTAAAGTAGAGCAGATCCTGTCCAACAAGTAGAGTAAGCAGCACAAGTTCTGAGTGCCCATTATGTGCCAAACATCAAATGATCTCATTTAATTCTCACAATGCCTCAAGGTAGCTATTATCTCCATTTACTAATAATGAAATTGGTTAACAGAGTTTAAGTGATTTGCCTCTGACTTGCAACTAGTAAATGCCAAAGCTGAGATTCGAACCAATGACCTCAGTATAGAACCAACGACCCATGTATAGAGTCTTTCAACTCTATCACACAACAGTTCTGATCCATAGTACTGTGACCTTTGAAGATAGCTACAGGCTAGCCCCAGGATTCAGATCACTGCTTAAAATCAAAGAGGAGTGGAGATAAATGAAATTGAGAATAGGAAAACAACAGAGAAAAGATGCAAAATAAAAAGTTGGCTTTTTAAAATGATCATCAAAATTGACAAACCTGACTAAGGACAAGAGAAAAGAGTCATATTACTAAATTCAGAAATGAAAGTGGGGACATTACTACCGACTTTACAGAAATAGAAAGGACTATAAAAGAATACTATCAACAACTGTATGCCAACAAATTAGATAAACTAAATAAAATGAACAAAATCCTAGAAACAAACTACCAAAACTGACTCAATAAGAAATAGAAAATACAAACAGACCTGTTAGAAGTAGAGGTTGAATCAGTAATCAAAAGCCTCCCAACAAAGAAAAGCCAGAACTAGATGAATTCTATAAAACATTTAAAGAATTAACACTTATTAATCCTTCTCAAAATCTTCCAAGGAGGAGGATGGAACTCATTCTATGAGGCCAGCATTACTCTGATACCAAAGCCAGATAATGGCATCACAGGAAAAGAAAACTACAGACAATATACCTTATGAATATAGATGTAAAAATCCTCAACAAAATACTAGCAAACCAAATCCAGCAGCATATGAAAAGGATTATACACCATGACCAAGTGGGTTTTATCTCAGGAATGCAAGGGTGGTTCAACATACAAGAGTCAATCAATGTAATATACCACATTAACAGAATGAAGGAAAAAAATGGAATCATCTCAATTGATGTAGCAAAAGCATTTGAAAAAGTCCAACACCCTTGCATGATAAAAATACTCAGCAAAGAAGGAGAAGAAAACTTTCTCAGCATGATAAATGGTATTTATGAAAAACTCACAGCTAACATACTGGATGGTAAAAGACTGAAAACTTTCCCCTAGGATCAGGAACAAGACAAAGATGCCTACTTTCACCACTTCTATTCAACATTGTACTGAAAGTTATAGCCAGAGCAACTAGGCAAGAAAAAGGAAAAAAAGCCATCCAGGTTGGAAAGGAACAAGTCAAATCTCTGCAGATGACATGATCTTGTATATGGACACTCCTAAAGAATACACACACACACAAACTATTACAGCTTTATTAACAAATGAGTTCAGCAAGGTTTCAGGATACAAGATCAATATACAAAAATCAATTGTATTTCTACACACTGGCAATAAACAACCCAAAAATGAAACTGAGAAAACAATTCTATTTATAATAGCATCAAAAAGAATAAAATATTCAGGAATAAAGTTAACCAAGGAGCTCTAAGACTTGTACACTACAATCTATAAAACATTGTTAAAGAAATTAAAGACGACCTAAATAAATGGAAATACATCCTATATTCAGGGACTAGAAGACTTAAATAGTTCCAAAAGTGATTGACAGATTCAATGCACTCCCTATCAAAATCCCAACAGCCTTTTCTTGCACAAATGGAAAAGGTGATCCTAAAATTCAATGGAATTGCAAGGAACACTGAACGGCCAAAAAATCTTGAAAAAGAAGAACAAAGTTAGAAGACTCACACGTCCCAATTTCAAAATGTAGTACAAAGGCACAGTAATTAAAACAATATGGCACTGGTATAAGGATAAATGTACAGATCAATGGAATATTAAGAGTCCAGCAACAAACCCATACATCTGTGGTCAACTGATTTTCAACAACAGGGCCAAGACTATGCAACAGAGAAAGAGGATAGTCTCTTCAACTAACCGTTCAGGGACAAGTGGATATCCACACACAAAAGAATGAAGGTGGACCCTTACCTCACACCATATAAAAATGTTAATTCAAAATGGATCAAAGACCACTTAGCTCCAAGTATAAGACCTTAAACTATAAAACTTCTAGAAGACAGCATAGGGATCATGACCTCGGGTTGGGCAATGGTTTCTTAGATATGACGCCAAAAGCATAAGCAACAAAGAATAAACAGATAAACTGGAAATCATCAAAATAAAAACTTGCTCAGGAAAGAACATTATCAAAAGAGTGAAAGACATCCACAGAATAGGAATATATCTGATAATGGTCTTTTATTCAGAATGTATAAAGAACTCTTATAACTCAACAACAAAAAGACAAGCAACTCAATTACAAAGTAGGCAAAAGACTTGAAGAGACATTTCTCCAAAGAAGATATACAAATGGCCAACAAGCACATGAAAAGATGCTCAATGTTATTAGTCATTACGGAAATGCAAATCAAAACCCCCAAAAGAGACCACTTCATACCCACTAATACAGCTATAATCTAAAAAATAGAAAATAACAAATGTTAGTGAGGATGTGAAGAAACTGGAACTCCCATACACTGTTGGTGGGAACGCTGCAGTCACTTAATAAAGTAAGTGACAGTTAAGGAACTTTGGCATCTCCTCAATAAGTTAAACACAGAATTAGCATACGACCTAGCAATTCCATTCCTAGGTATATACTCAAAAGAACTGAAAACAGGTCTTCAAACAAAAACTTGTACATGAATGTTCTTAGCAGCACTATGTACAAAAGCCAAAAGGCAGAAAGAATCATCCATCAACTGATGAACAGATAAATAAAATGTGGCAAATCTATACAATGGGATATTATTTAGCCATAAAAAGGAATGAAGTACTGATACATGCTACAACACGGATAAACCTTGAAAACATTACGCTAAGTGAGAGAAGCCAGACACAAAAGTCTACATATTGTATGGGTCTATTTATCTGAAATTATCTATAATAGGCAAATTCATAGAGACAAAAAGTAGACTAGTGATTGCCAGGGGCTGGTGACAAGGCAGAAAGGGGAGTGACTCCTTATTGGGTACAGGGTTTACTTTTGGGATGATGAAAATGTTCTGGAACTAGATAGTGGTGATGATTGTACATCATCTTGAATGTACGAAATGCCACTGAATTGTATACTCTAAAATGGTTAAAATGGTAAATTTTGTTACGTATATTTTATCACAATTAAAAAAGTAATAAATAAACACACATACACATAAATCTGAAAAAAAATTCAAAGAGGAAAAACAATTTAATATGCAGAAAACAACTGAAGAAATCACAAATAATCCTTTCAAGATAACAAATCAGTAGATTTTTCTCACGGCCAGGCCCTTTCCCTATCTACATGTGATATCAGTTTCTTCAAGACAAGGTTGTCAGGGCCATGATCAGCCCTGCCCTCCATGGAGAGGTCATACTCACCTCCAATTACTCGAATATTGTTGTCCTTTGTCAGAATAGCCTCAGCATGGAATACCAAAACCGGAATTCTCCTGCAGCCTCCAGTCCACATGATACATGGATGGTCCCTACAACCGTAACAGAAGGCTTTATTAATTCACAGATCAAAATCTCAATTACCAGCTGAAGCTGTGGTTTGCTACTTAGCACCTTTTCTCTCCATCTGGAACAAGAACCCCAAGTGTCCTATGGGAAACCATTAATCTCCCATTCTTAAGTATGTGGTTTGCTTAAGATTAATTCCATCCCTGCTCCAGGGATGGGCCTTGACTGATTTCAGCCAATCAGGGTATTCCACCCCCCAGTTATAGTGGCTGGTTCAGGGACGAGCACATAAACCTATTGGAACCAGTGAATGTCAGGAAACAGGTTGTGAGCCCCTCTGAGAAAGCGATGGTTTCTTTCTCTTCTACAGCAGCTACAGGAGAGATGTCCCTCTTCCCCTTGAAGGTGTAAGGGCACAAGAGGTTTGGAAGTGCAACTGTCACTCTGTGACCTGGAGAGGAGAGTGTGGAGCTGTTGGTAAAAGAGGACGTCAGGAGAGCCTGACTGAAAGAAGGAGAGACACGAGATCCTGAAGGGCAAACGTGGAGTAGAATCAAGTCTTTCCTAAATGAGTAAATACTTTATTATTTAGGACACTTTGCTCCCCAGCACACATAAAAAATCCTAACCAATATATTCAAAATAATTTATATACCCCTTTTACACCCTATAGTCCCTTTTAAGCCAATCTGATGACCCATTCTAAGATTCTGAGCTAGGAACCCTAAGTTAATACAATTATCCCAATTAAAACCACATATTTTAAAGAAAGCCTACACTAAATGGAACAATAGATATTTTCCTCCAGAAAAGGACCCCTGAATTTATTCTCTTCCTCTATCCTCAGGAAATCTAAGATTAATGAATCTTGGACAGATGTACATTTACTCACAGGCAAATCTTCAACCTCTTTAATGCAGGGAGGTGGAAAGTGAAAGAAATGAACTGAGTCCCTCCTATGTGCCAGGAATTAATCTAGGAGGTGTTACACGTTACCTCACTTAATCCTCTTGCCGGCACTAAGAACTGGAGAAAAGGTGTCTCAAAGAGGTTAAGTAATTTGCCAGAGGTCATACAGCTGGTTAAGTAAGCGAACAGGTATTTGAATTCAAGTGTCTATGTTCTTTCTACCCTTCTATCTCCCTAATCACATTTCGGTGATGTTCTGCATATGGAATACCTTAAACTCAACTCTTTGGGAATTTAATTCCTTAAATAGAATAAGATCCATTTACCCAGGATTCAGGATGCTCTCAAAAACTCACATGACCACACCCCTCAACAAAGTCCATAACACAAATCGCAAGGTCAAGTCAGACTCTCCCAGCTCAAGTTTAAAAAGATCCACACTTTGAGGGGCTGGCCCATGGCCGAGTGGTTAAAGTTTCACGTGCTCCACATCAGCAGCCAGGGCTCGTGGGTTCAGATCCCGAGTGTGGACCCACTCCACTCATCAGCCATGCTGTGGAAGCATCCCACAAACAAAACAGAGGAAGACTCGCACAGATGTTAGCTCAGGGCGAATCTTCTTCACCAAAAAAAAAAACATAAAACAAAACAGATCCACACTTGGAATGCACAGGCTGCCAGGCTATCAATCTTAGAAGGAAGGCAGCCTTTATAGACTTGGCATGAGCTGCCAAATGCCTTTTAGTGAAGAAAGCAAAGAACACCATACCTAGTTTATTTCCTATTTTCTAGAAATGGAATATGGTTGCTAATTGTTCTTGCTCTCTGACTTGGGTGATAGTGCCCATTTGTGAGAAATGGTGTTTACAGGGTGCATTTTCTAGCAAGAAGGATTTTCCTGTGCTTTGCATGCTTTTTAATCGTAAACATCTATAAAATGTGGGCAAGGGGCCAGATGATTCCTATGATCTCTTCCAATTCTAATTTTCCCACTATATTTCTAAGGCAGAGGACAGAGAAATAATAGGCAGCCTGAATTACAAAGTCTTGGACAGAAACTTTGGAAACTATCCAAAGTTCCTCATTAATCTAGCACTAGCTACTAACTGGCACCACTGTGCCTTAGCACTCACAAACAATGGATTACTGCTAACAGCTAAAAATGCCTGACAAGAGTCAGGAATGGCATACAGTCAGCGCTGCATAATGACGTTTCAGTCAATGACATATTGCATGTACGATGATGGTCCCACAGGATTAGTACCACACAGCCTATGTCTGCAGTAGGCTTACTATCTAGGCTTGCATATGTACACTCTACGGTGTTCACACAATGATGATATCGCATAAGGATGCATTTCTCACAACGTATCCCTGTCGTGAAGTGACACATGACTGAAAACATACAAAGCTGAGAAAAGCCAAGGCCCTAACTTACTACCTGTGGAAAGCCAAATCCCTGGCTCAGAAATCTTTCCACTTACAACCTATGAAAACATAAAAGAGGTAGTAGACAAATTGTTAATTCAGTAAGGTCATCTAAAATGCAGTTAAGGCAGGGGCTATATTGTCATGAAAATCATGCTCCCACCAGGTGGTGCTAAAGGGAAAGATTCAAAAGGATTAGGAAACCAGAAATTGGAACCTCACAATTTCATTCACACCAGAAACTGGAATATTTAATATGCTTTTAGAGGCATGAAAGAACAAAGGATGTGAATGATGAATTACTGAAGCAGGCCAGTTTTATGGTTCACTTTACCGAAAGGCTAAGAACGTTTTGCTTTTTAAGAAGCAATTTCATGAGGAATATATATTATTCACTCCTGGGATCCAGCCTGCATAACTCAAAGCCTCTACACCTGATTGAGACCAGTGTCTGTGATGGAAATGCCTTTCCCACTGCTGTCCGCTTACTCCTACTCTCCAAGGCCCAGCTCATCTCCCCACCTGCAGGGGGCCTGCCCCAGCTCCTCCAGCCCACAGGGATGCCTTCCTTCTCTGAATCCTGTAGCACCCACCGTGTAATCATTTGTTGATGATCTTTTATTTTTTCCATGTAAATGCTGATGATCTTTTTAACTGATATAAAGCCAGCTTTTATGATAGGAATTAAAGTTACTATTTTTTCTGTGACTAAAGAAACCTTACATCAAATCCTTTTATGAAAGTTTCCACATCTATTTATAAATTTGTATTGGGGACCCCCAAGCAAAATAGAGAAAAAGAGCCCCTTTGCATTTACTGTTTGAAATAATGCCATGCAAAACAAGGACTGCATGGACAGTTTCTAGCCCTAAAGTCCAGGATTGCAAAGCATTAATTAATACTTTAATACGGCCTAGGAATCTGAGCAGATCGAACAGATGTCCATGGATCTTTGGATCAAATCAACATCCTTAGATGACTGAAGACCTTCTAACTTCCAAGACTTGTTAAATGTAAGCCTGCTTTTCCAAGTGTGAACAAGATTGACTTGACATTACTAATGTATAATACAAGTGTCTGATACACAAGACATGGGCTGACAGAATGAGACTAACAGTCAAAAATCAACAGCAAGAGTTTGAAAGGAAGAAGAGTGAAAAGCCACGAATTTGGATTGGGAAGGCTGGGGGATCACAGCTTTATTTTCACTAACTTCTACTAGAAATTTAACATTTCCCAATTACAAATATAGGCAACAAAGCACAGCAGTATTAGCATTATCGTGCCATTGACTCTATCTGAAACTTCAGATTTTTTAAACCATTTTACAGTTGTTACCAATATCTCAAAATATTATTTACATTTATCACTACTTCTAAGTGATGGCAGATATTAAACTTGCCACTAGATCACCTGTGATCCCAGTCCTCCTCCTCTGCTGTGATGAGGCTGGACAACGATTTGGCAACTCTCCCCCAAGCAATTATTCAGCTACCAAATGGTGACATCTCACATTGGGGGTCTAGACATCTATGATTCCCACTTTTCTCCACTTATAAGTGTTAATCAGGGGCCGACCCGGTGGTGCAGCGGTTAAGTGCACATGTTCCCCTTTGGTGGCCAGGGGTTCGCCAGTTCGGATCCCGGGTGTGGACATGGCACTGCTTGGCAAGCCATGCTGTCACAGGTGTCCCACATATAAAGTGGAGGAAGATGGGCATGGATGTTAGCCCAGGGCCAGTCTTCCTCAGCAAAAACAGAGAGGAGGATTGGCAGCAGAAGTTAGCTCAGGGCTAATCTTCCTCAAAAAGTAAAAATAAAAGAATAAGTGTTAATCAGAGACCACTCCACAGTGTGATGATTTTATGCCAACTAAGCAAAAACAGTCTTTATGCTCCTATCTTCAGAAAATAAAACTTAACTTTCCCATGTTTTAAATGAATGATCTTGTTATTGATGTAACAATAAGAAAGCACATATTACTATAACACAAGTTTGTTTTTCTAATTATGACAATTACATTTCAATGTAATTAGTATTCTTTGAAGTATGTATTTTAAGCACGTAAATATATTATTCTGCTAAGAGATCCATAGCATTAAAAAGGTTAAGAACCGCTGGATCTAAAGTGATCTAAAGCATAAAGCCTCTATTCATTCATTGCCTACCAAAATGGCAATTTTATACAGTTCAGTCTGATACTTGTGGGGCCCAACCTCTAGGCCCACTAATAAGAGAGAAATTCATGGAGTAAAAGCATGATCTTGAAACAAGAAAGACGGATGCTTGCAGGAGAAGCTAAAAATTTTGTGAAATGTGTAAGAGGCAGCACACGGAAAGCAAAAGTCACAAGAAGGCAAAGTGGCCCAAGAGAATTACCCATTTAATTATCCCAAATGAGAATGACCCAAATATACTGTCAAACCTCTATTATGTTCTACAACCTAACCATGATGAGAAGCCTTTCCCCAAAGCTTTATTAATACTTCAATAATTTTTTTCAAGTCATATTAAATATTGTAATCTTCGACTTTATAAGAAGAAGTCCACTTTAAATTCAATATCAAAGCCATTTGGAATAATGCCTTACATCTGTATGGCACTTTATAATGTACAAAGTAATTTCATACACATTATTCTGTTTGATCCTAACCATACCTCTAGCAAACAGCCTGGGAGATATTATCCCCATTTCTCAGGTTAGGCAGCACACACATATTTGAGGAGACTGACAGAGAAGGTTAAAAACTAATCTTAACTTTAAGCCAGTCTCTCTCTTTGTTCTCTGTGTCAAGTATTAACATTAAAGGAGGCAAAATAGCAAAGTGCTTCAAAATCCAGAAAAACTAGGCCTGAATCTCGATCCTTCACTTACTCTCTCTGTGTCCCTGAAGCAGTGCTTTGATATTTCCGAGGCAGAGCTTAATAAAGCGGGAATAGTAACATCTTCAGATTAAATGAGACACAGTAGTTAAAGCCCTTACCATCATCTAAAGCAGCTGCACTTATCACTATCATTCATTCCTATTATTATGAGAATCCAGCAACCAAGAAACCTGGCTCATACCCAAAGGAACTCAGGAAAGCAACGTGGTCCAATAGACACAGCACAGGCTACAGAATTCTAACGTCCTGCCCCACGGTTACTCTGGTAAGTCACCTGACCTCTCTATATTATCATCATTCTATCACTAATGCCTTCGAGAAAGTAACATAACCAATGTCAGAGCTTGGAGACCTACTTTTCTTTAATATCTAAAAATTTCAAGATCTCCTACGTTAGGAGCTCTGATTAAGAGTTTACCAAGAGCTACCTGCAACACCTAGAGCTGATGTTCATTCATGAGCCTGTGTTCACCCATGAGCCCAGGGCCTTATCTCATTTCAGGTAGCTGATGGGGATGGAATAAGATCTTGAATTAGATCGTATCCACGTAGAAGCTAAAACCAGAGGGAGACAATACCAAAGGAAGGCTATTGGGTAAAAGGGTCTATGAGTAAAAGAACTATTTTCCACCCTAGAGGCAAAGGGTCAAAAGCAGGCTTGCTGTTACTTACTCTTGGCTTACCGCCTCCTCATCCTCTGAGGATGATGCTGTTTCCTCCAGGTCCCGGGCCATCACGACTGGCATTTCCTTTAGGGTTTCTCATGCAGTCAGCAGACAGGGGCCTCAGAGACCTTTCCTTGCAGATTCACTGGATCAAACAATTCGGGTGGCACAGATTCCTGTAAGAAAGCAGAATGATCTGAGACACAATGCTGTTGTCTATTTGTTGATCATTGCTGACGATCTTCCAAGTAATAAAAATGAATATCTACCTAAATGGTGCCCAGCCTCTAGAAGCTTACCTTCTATCACAGTGCCTCACATATGCCACAAAAAGCAAGATTTCCGTCCAAACATACTGTCTCTCCTCTATGCATTTGAAGAGCTGTTAAACTCAAGTTTCTCATTTTTCTTTTATGTACTATACCTAACATGCCCCAAAAGGACAGACCTGCTTAACTTTTAGGTAACTCTGAGGTAGGTGGACAACTACCTAAAACAGATTCCTTGCTTAAAAAACCTGTCCTAGGTTAAAAATAAAAATTCATTGATTTAAGATCCTTGAAAATATTTTACACTCTACGACAAGCACACAGGTTAAAAGCCCTCATGTTTCCACTAAAACAAATTCAACAACGAACCAAAAGATTAATATAGTTCTCTTGAACAGAGGTCATAAGTGGCTGAGAAAAAAACACTGTCCTTCCAAACACTCAAAAATTATTCTCCCTTACTAAAAATCAGAAACTATGACCTGAATCTCAAATACACATTAAAATTAAATATTTCCAATTGCTACCTTAAAATATTTTTTCCATAGGGAAAAAGTACGCGTTCGTTATGTGTTTTCGAGGAACAGAAATGACAGATAAAGAAAATGAAAATATTTAAAGGACCATAATCCCATTACTCAGAGACAGCCACCTGATGTCAGTCCTTCCAAACCTTTTCTATACATTCATGTATACAGTAAGATTCGATTGTAAACGCACCAAAAAACGCCGATCCCGATAAGGACCCCTACAGATCGTCAGCGGAACTGGCTGAAGATCTAACAACCTCAAAGGCGTCCTTCCAAGGATTCCCAGCGGGATTTCTCGATCTTTCCCAAAATGTTGGGATGTCCTTTAAGTTAAAGCAAAACAAACAAAACCTCCAAGCGAGGAAGGGGTGCCGACCGTCCTAGGCTGCCTGCAGAGCGGGGAGACACAGGACGCTCGGAAGAAGATTAAGGACACTCGCCCAAGGAGCGTCCCCGCCCTAAAGAGATCAGAGCCTCAGCCCCACCCCTGACCCCCCACCCCCATCCCAGGCAGGTCCGCAGATGCTCCCCACGGGAAGGACGGGGCGGCTCCGCCGCCGGGATCCGGCGCGGCGCGCCCGGAAGCCAACAGCGGCTCCCGGACCCGAACAGGGAAGCGCAGCGGGCCGGGCCGCCCAGACGCGGAGCGCACCTCCCGCGGTAGGCGAGCGCCGGCGCAGGCGTTTACCTGGCTCATCTTCCCATGGCTCGGGGCGGGCAGGCGGGGACCGCGCTCGGCGCCTACCTCCCTGCTCCTTCCCCAGCCGGGCTCACGGCCGCGGAAGGCTGCTTCCCCCGTTACTACAACAACCAACAAGCAACCGCCCGCTCGGAGCCACTGCGCAGGCGCCCGCCACCCGGCGCCGAAAACGTTCGGCTGCGGGCGCGGACGAATGTCGTCACCGCGGCGCAGCGCGGGCGCAGCGCCCAACTCTCAGCAGAAGAGTCTTTTCTTTTTTTCCGCTCTTTTTTGCCTCTGCCCCTAAAAGGTTGACTTCGAAACCAGAGTTCTTCCGCCACGCTCGATAGGGGTGTTCCCTGCGTGAGCGGCCTCCCAGGGTGAGGCTTGGGCAGCGGCAACCTCTGATTGGCAGTAAGGGGTTCACGCCCCATCTCCTGCTCGAGCACAACCAGAACAGCCAATCAGAGCGAGGACTGACCGAAACGACCCAATCCTGGAGCCGGGTGAGGGCGGGGGCGGGGACAAATGGCTCAGGTGGACTCCGTGCTGGAGCGGTCTTGGGGAAGTTTATTTGCTGCTGCTGCTGCTGAGTTGGGGATACGGTCGGCAGGTAAGAAGAATGTGGGGGTTAAGAGTGATATAGGGGTATGTGTGGCATCTGATTGAAAGGATCTGGAAGGTCTGGAGAAATGGAGGTGGGATAGAAGAAAGATACCTGGAAGTCAACCTTTTGAGGGAAAAGGGGTTCAAGAGACCATGAGAAGGGGGAGCTAGGAAGATGAAGGCTTGGTAGTTACGGGGAACGAGTGAATGGATGAACGAATGAGCGGTCACTGTTAGCCTAGCACGGTGCAAGGAAGTTTCACTTTTCTCATGTAATTATTATTTTTTATCTCCATTTTGCAGGTGAGGAAATCTAGGCTGTAAAGTGTAAATTACTTGCCCAGGGTTACACAGCTACTAAATGGTAGGGCCAGGATAGGACCCTCTCTCTCCTGCTTCGAGTCTTAACACCACACCTTTGCTGAGCTGGGCCAGGGCACGATTTGAGTATAGATGTTGGATATTTTAGGAGGCCCTCAAACTTTAGGGACATGGTGTTGAGGGATTGGTCGAGCAGTTCAGAAGAGTGCTCAGGCTCTGCCTTCATCAGCTATCTGTTGCTGTTTCTAAGAGCTTCTGTGAAATGGACATTAGTTCTGTCAAAGAGAAGAGCCATCCATGCAGCTTTTCTGACCCTTGGAGGAGACAGCCTGAGTCTCCTGTTGAGGGAGGGTGAGAAACTAAAAGAGGATGGAGAGATCCTGGCCCCTGCTGTACCCACTTGTGCTGTCCAGTAGAACCCGATAGAGACATCTGCTGCCAGAGCAACAAAGGAAGCCTGATGGTGTATCACCACCTCAGGCCCAAGAAGGTAACCTGAAACAGACAAACAGTGGGCAAAAAAAACCTAATGAAGATGGGAGGAAGTAATTCCATTATTAGATTCTTTATCTACATGGGTTTTATGTAAAGCAAGCTGATTGAAATCAATGCTCGGCAAGGCTTGATCTATGCTTTTTTTTAACAAAAAGTACATAATTGTATTTTCTACACAACGTGAATACAGAAGTGAATATGGTATGCTTGTCTTCCTCAAAAATGGAAACTTCATCAAAATATTCTCAAACCATGAGGCAGCATGCAATGTAGAGTTCAAGAAATTGTGTATCTTAGCTCTGCCATATATTAGCTGTGTAACCTCAAGCAAATCACTTAAGTTCTCTGTGCCAACACTCATCTGTAAAATGGAGGTATTAATAGTGCCTACCTACCTTGTTTAAGGATTAAATGCGATAATATATGTTACGTGCTTGCACCGTATGACATACATGTGCCTGGTAACTGTTAGCTATTATCATTTCTCTTGCAACCCAACACCGACATTGCTGTTTCCTTCTCCATATAATTTTCTTACTAGTTCTTAAGTCACAGCAGTTTATTTATAACTTTTAGATTGTTATTCTAGTTTATGAAGCATGGTGTACCTGAGAACCAGAGTAGAGAAGAGGTGAAGATGTAAATATTGTCCTTACACCATAGGTTCCACTCAAATGTATAAGGTTTCTCTGTGGTGGAAGGATCTGTCATCCGTAGCCAGGCAGGAATCTGGTCATAGATTTAGAATCACCTCTGAGCCGCTTGCATTACAAAGGAATGGCATGAAAGACCAGGCTACAAGTAGAGATATAAAAGGACTGACTCCAGCCAAGAGAAAAGAGTTCCGATTTAGCTAATATTTTGGAGAAATTGCTTAGACAAAAATAAATACTATGCCACTTAGTGCAAAGTTCACTGTGGGTTCACTAGCGTTAGCGTGACTCAATATTGAGACCAGTTTCTGCAGTCTTCCACGGCAGTCCATTGGGTTACTTTGTAGTAATATGTGTACACTGGCCTTCTTTTCCCGTTCTTCTCTCCAGTTTTTCTGCTGGGTTTGTCATTCCCACCCGCTGCCTTATTTAGTCTTGTACACTCTAGGTAAAGGTCAGCACACTTTGGTTTAGGGAAATATTCAAATGCAGTGTGCTAACCCTGTGAAGTAAGAGAAGTGTGTCAAGATCCCTGGGGATGGATGAGCCCAGGGGACCCGGAGAGGAATTTATCAAGTGATGGACCAAGTAAACTTAGTAGAACCCTTGTGGTGGGGCCCAGGTTAATGACGGAGGTGAGACAGCTCATGGTTAAAGTACATTAACCGTCTATCATCTTGTGTCCTTTGCCTTCGTTTCCAAGGTAGAAAGCCCTCTCTGAGCGGAGCCATGAGCCGCTTCCTGAACGTGTTACGGAGCTGGCTGGTCATGGTGGCCATCATAGCCGCGGGAAACACGCTGCAGAGCTTCCGAGACCACACCTTCCTCCACGAGAAGCTCTACACCGGCCAGCCAGGCCTCGGTGAGAAGTCCAAGAACGGCCACCTTTGTGGGGTGGCCTGAATCGTGGTTCCCAGGCCCAGCTGGAGATCAGAATAACCTAGAAAACTTAGAAACAAACAAAGCACAGGTGCCCGTTTCCCTCTCCTAACCTATTTCCTGAACCTTTGACCCGCTGGCTGGGGCCCTGGGTTCTATTTTTTTTTAAAAGATTTTATTTATCCTTTTTCTCCCCAAAGCTCCCCAGTACATAGTTGTATATTTTTAGTTGTGGGTCCTTCTAGCTGTGGCATGAGGGATGCCGCCTCAGCATGGCTTGATGAGTGGTGCCATGTCTGCGCCCAGGATCCGAACCGGGGAAACCCTGGGCCGCTGAAGCAGAGTGCGCAAACTTAACCACTCAACCACGGGGCCAGCCCCCCTGGGTTCTGTTTTTTAAAAACTTCCCAGGTGATTCTGATGCTGCCTAATCCAGCCTTTGGCAGCCTCTGGAATGGACTGTGGAGAGCACTTGGCCCCTTTTCCCCAAGCTTCTCTGAATCCCTTTTCATTCATTTCACACTGCCCTGGGCAGTTAGTCTGTACAGAAGGCAGTACGCGGACAAGTGGGGAAACAGAGGTACTCGGCGACTGTGCGAGGCCCCACTGGAAAGCCATGAGGAAGCTCTGCACGTTAGCCAGCTCTCTTCAGAACCAGGTCATGGACACGGGGTTATAGTCCACGTTGCAGACGGAGAGTTACTAACCCAAGGCCTTCCCAAACTGTGACCTAGTCCTGAGGAGGAATCCAAATCCTCCAGTGGGCCTCCCAGAACGACGCTCCAGAAGGCCCACGGTGGCCTTTCCCAGCCCCCTGGGCCTCTCCACTGAGGGTGTCTTCACGGTTCAGCTCTGCTCCCCTGCGTGGCTGCGGGGGGTTGTTTGAGCTGCAGCACCATCCACACAGCTGACAAGTCCCTGTCACATTTATAGCTAACCCACATTCAGGCTCTGACCTAGCTCACCTTCTGTGTATAAAATGAAACTAAGCAGGCTATGGCTCATTTTGAACAAAGCTCAGAGACAATAGGAGTAAAGAACCTGGAAACCTGGGCAAGACAATTCCACTTTTTCACCCTCAAACGCTGCCCTCAGGTGGTCCTGGAACCCCATATGGATTCACAGAATTTTGAGGGTTATCTGCTCTAGCCCTTTGAAGTCAAGTTGACACAGAAAAGCCCAGGGTCATGTGAAATGCTGAAGGGCATGGAGCTGAGCCAAACAACTGTGTGTGGGGGTGTGGGGGTGTCTGTCTATCAGTCTTTCTCCAGCCCAGGAGTGTGTGTGTGTGTGTCTCTGTCTGTCTGTCTGTCTGTCTCCAGCCCAGAAGTAGAGTCTGCCTCCTCCCTCGTGACCTGGGGGCCGGCAGGGTACTCTGCTGGTCACAGCTGTGCTCTGGAGCTTCAAGTAGAAATTTCACCTGATGCCTCATCTGATGAGAGTTGGCAAAATATTCCACTTTTATATCTCACTAAGTAGAGGAATTTCCTCAGTCTTTTCATCAGAAAAGCCATCAAATTGGTTTATAAAGAATGTACCCCTCCAGGGCTAACCGCTAGATACTTGGTTGGCATATGGAATTTTTTCTCACCCTACTACCATCTAAGCGTTCAGGGTTGGGAAATTGGTGTCACTGTCTAGTTTTCCAAAGGCAGGAAAGTCCTTAAAGCCCAAGAAAACATTAACAGACCTTTCAGTTTTTGGTCTTGTCCCCTGGAATTTCCCTTGCTTGACAGACCAGCACAGGAAGTACCTTTGCTTTCACTGTGTTGGCATTGCCAACCCCTGGATGACTGAGATCAACAGCTGTATGTTACAATCACCCAGGGAGGGAGATTTCAGAAAATACTTATGCCCAGGGCCCACCTCCAGAGTATGAGTTAACTGCTCTGATACCCAGGTCTTGGTAATTTAAGGAACTTCTTCAGTTGATTCTAATAAATGCCCAGGATCGAGGACCACTGTTCTGGTGGTGTATGATCCGTATACTTTCAGAACAACATATCTGATACAGCAGTGTCAGAACCAAGCCACCAAGAGCTGCGTGCATTCAGAAAACGCCAGAGAAGCAGTGCTTTGTTCCACTACCACGTGCACAGGAAACCAGCCTGGTTTGGGCTCTGCTCAAATAACACAGAGCTGAATTCAGGAGAAGACCCAGGGACAGAGGTCTCTTAAAGACCAGATGTGGGCATCTAGATAGCTCCCAGTATTTCTGAGTTCTCTCCTACCTCGGCCTTGAGAAGTCTGCTGAACCCCTAGGCCTCCTCTGCTGACAGACCACTCTGCAGCATTGCTCCAAACCTGTCCTCATCCAGACTCGCTGGGCGTTGTCAACACCAGAGGGGCTTCCAGGGCAGAGGCGGAAACTGCTACATCCAGGAGTTACTGCCTACGTGGGCTCTTTGTTGGGTTTCTGCTCTCGGAACTCCCCCACCCAACTGTAGACAATTGAAGAAGAGCTGGGCAGTTCTCATTCTGGAACTCCTTCCACTCCTAGTTTCCATGTGCAGCACCAGAGCCTCCCTCTGCTCTGCCCAGCCAAAGGGAGCTAGCTCAGCGCCCTGCCTCCCATGAACCACCAGTGAAGTGGGAGGAGTTTAAAGGAGCCTAAAACCCCCCGCCCCCCTTTCTCAACAGTCTTGCTTTTTTTTTGCTCCACAGTGAATGGCCTCCAAGCTCGGACCTTTGGGATCTGGACGCTGCTCTCATCAGTGATTCGCTGCCTCTGTGCCATCGATATCCACAACAAGACGTATGTAAGGGAAGGAAGAGCTTTAGTGTCCTTGTTGGAAGTCACGTGCTAAGCATACCCCCTGTGGTCCTTCCCTCAGAGTCCTGTTAATTTTGATACATTAGCCTAGAGTGTGGACAATAAAAGGTTAATGGGTTCACTTCCTTCCAGGCCTAAAGACATAATAGGTCTAACAGTTCTTTAAAGTTTGACAATTCTTTGGAACTGACACGGCAAACTGGTATTGTCGTGATCCAGTAGCCTGCATCATACGCCATCTTCTTCTTTACATCTTTACTTCTTTGCTGAGGAATCAGCCTTTCTTCTACTAAAGTAGTAGAGGAGTGTGCTCTTTTTAGAGCAGCCACTCACACCTACCTTATTCTCACATTCCTCCGTAAGAAGCAGGAATGACCAGCAACCACAATCCTGAAAAAACCAACCCACAAGTAACCTGTTGTGTGCTTGTGCAGACTCAGTAGGTGAGAGTGAAAGAGAACCTAGGACTCCTGTATTCTTCTCTTGGCTACTCAAATAGAACAGCGTGGACCAATTGCAGGCAGTGATAGGCTCGGGTCTAGATAATGCTGTAACTCGTGCTGGCCACTGGAGGGGGCTCGAGCTTTCCTCCCAGCAACAGCCATCAGCACAAGGAAGTGGAAAGTTCACTGGGGTCACTGGGTGAGGCCACCAGAACGCCAGCTTCACACTACAGTATTTTTCTGTCTTACCCAAACTCTCAGCGTCTGAGGAAGAGAGGAGGTAATGATACTGAGCCCCCCTTATTACGCTGGATGCTTTCATCCACATGACCTTGATTAACTCTCCTAGCAGCCCTGGGAGGTAGTGATTTTCATTCCTGATTTTGCAGATCTACGTACTCCAGACCCACTTACTTTAAACTGAGGAAGACTGACGCAGATAGGGTTTGAAGCAGCGCTATTGGCCCTGCGGTCTCTCCAACTTTATTTTTAAAATGCTTCTTTTTTTTGAACTTGAAAACTGTGGTTTACTTGTTCTAGACTGACACATATTTTTGGAAGCAGTGTGGTTTAGTGGAAACAGCCTGGGCCCAAGGATGAAAACTGGAAAATGGACTCTGGTCTCAGTTCTCTTGGTAACTAGCTTTGTAGCAGCAAGATCATTATATGCCTTCCCTGCATCTCGGTCTCTTCCCGTATGCGATGAGTCTAGTGTGTCTGTCCTCCTCTCAGGGTGACTGGGAGGGAGTAAGGATTGGCTGCTCATTTGAAAGACCTTTACCATGATGAAGAATTGCTGACAGGGTCAGGGGTATATCTTTTGTTGGCTGTGCTTTTGCAATGAGCAAAGACAGCTCAGACTTATTTTTACCTCTGTTAACCCATTCACTTCCCCTTCTCCCAACACAGGACAGCTACAGAGGCTGACTTCTGTTTCCAACCTCATTTAGCCTGGGCCTTTGGCCTGTGTGCTTCTGCTGTGTACTCTCATTCTATTCCCTCCCTAACCGGAAACTGAAAGTCAACTCCCATGCATGCATATTTACTAAATGTGTAAAAACACGCACAGGAATGATAAAAATCAAATTTACGATACTGGTTCCTTCAGTGACCGGGGGGCAGGGGGGAGACAGGAGAATGGAATAAGGATACACAGGATGTGATCTGATACCTGTAATATTTTATTTCTTTTTCTTTTGTTTTTTGTGTGTGTGTGTGTGAGGAAGATTGGTCCTCAGCTAACATCCGTTGCCAATCTTCCTCTTTTTGTGGAGGAAGATTAGCCCTGAGCTAACATCTGTGCCAATCTTCCTCTTTTTTGTATATGGGATACCACCACAGCATGGCTTGATGGACAGTGCGTACCAGGGATCCGAACCCATGAACCCTGGGCTGCCAAAGCAGAGCATGCAAACTTAACCACTTTGCCACCAGGCCAGCCCCTTAATATTTTATTTCTTAGAAAAAAGTATCTGAAGCAAAAATGTCAAAACATTCAGATTTGATGGAGCAGGTACTGGTTGCATAGGGGTTAACTGTAGTAGTCTCCATAATTTTTTGTATGTTTCAGGGATTTCATAATTTTAAAAATTTCCTAGTTAAAAAGATAGCAGCAATCCAAGTGGTCAATCATCCTGTCACCTATCTCTTCTCCACTTCTTTATCAAAGCTGAGGAACAAGTTCTCTTCCCGTGAGGTTGTCACTGTGTCCTCCACCTGACCATTTTCCTAGACTAAGACACAAATAACTGGCCCACAATGCAGGAGCATCTAAAAGCCCAGAGTGGTCCTTGCTGCTCATTGCCCGTTCAGGCCCTTCATTCTGTGGCATCCATCATGTCAGCACTGACCAGCCCCTGGCCAGCACCTGCCAGGTGGGCTTGGACTACAGAGGCAAGCCAATTTGAGTAAGTAGAATATATAAGCGTGGTCGATCCAAAATGTCTACACTGCCTAGGAGTGCCATCATCCAGACTCTGCTTTCCTGGCTTCACCACTTTGCTAAGACTTGGAGATCCACTCTGGATGGCCGGACCATTCTCCTCTCAGTTTAGCAGTTGAAACCTTCAGTTTTGGCCTCGTAGAAAACAGATTGATGTGATCAGGCAGCCAGGTCTTCCTCAGGAGCAAGTCTCCTTTTCCTTTCGCCATAGTCACTGCCTGGATTTTTACCTGCGTGTATCAAGTCTGACCACTCCATTCCTCTGCGTGGAACACGCAGTCCCTTCAGTTCCCATTTCTGTCTGCTCCCTTGTAGGCTCTACCACATCACACTCTGGACCTTCTTCCTCGCCCTGGGGCACTTCCTCTCTGAGTTGTTTGTGTATGGGACTGCGGCTCCCACGATTGGCGTCCTGGCACCACTGATGGTGGCAAGTAAGCATCCATCCACCCTCGACCCCCGAGAGGAACGGTCCCAGCCCTAGAGCTGGTGCTGGAGAGCAGACCCACAAGGTACGAGGAAGCGCTGTGTTCATGTCAGCCACTGTTCTGTTGTCTGTATTCAAGGTTTCTCGATCCTGGGAATGCTAGTTGGGCTCCGGTACCTGGAAGTAGAACCAGTGTCCAGACAGAAGAAGAGGAGTTGAGGCCAGCACCACCACCTCCAAGGCTTCGTCTTCCACCTTCACTTCCTCTTCCTCCATCCTCTCTGCTCTTTAATCTCTTCTTTTCTGCTCTATGATAAGCCCCCTTATCCACTTCTAGCCTTTATGTTTTGGTTTTTTTTAATTTAAAAATTTTAAGATATACCATACATACAGAAGAGTATATGATACATATGCACAACTTAAAGAATTACTTTTAAGTGAGTATGATATACCTCCATCCAGATTAAGAAATTGGCAGTACCTCCGAAACCCTGTGTATCCTTCCCCCACCTGCCACCTCTTCCAGGATCCCTTTTCCAGCCTCCTGCTTTTCTCCTTTTATTTTGAATCTTTGACTTGACTTGTGTGGTGGGAACACGTGAACTCTGAAACTTAAAGCTGCTGCCTTACCCACAGCAGCTGCCACCAAGGGCTGCTGTAAGGGGTGGTCCACTCACGTTGGGCTCCTCTCTGCTGCTGGACCCAAGACCGAATCATCCGAGGAACAGGCAGGTCTTCTACAAAGGGCTCCTCTGTGAGTGAACATGACTCATGTCCTTGTATCTACTGGGGGGTCAGGTTCGGAAGTGTCTGAGCTGCTTTTAGACCATCTGGTCAGCTGTATTTGTGGAACAAATTTTGTAATAAATAGAAAACCTCTCTGTTCTCATCAGTCCTTGTACTTGGACCTCCCCTATACCAGGAGCATTCGTTCCCTCCTCTGAGCCCTGGCGTAGGAGCATCACAGCTTTGTGCTGATCAGATACACCAGAGTTAGGAGGACAGCTCAAGACCCAGGCACACCTGGCTGCCTCCAGCCCCTTCTGTCACTTGCTCATTTCTCTTGAAGTCAAATCTTCCTCCTCTCCTTACCCACCTTCAAGATTCACAACTGAACAGTTGGCACTGGTTCTTGTTTTCTTCCTAAGGAAGGAACAGATTCTCGAGAAAGCAGAGGCAAGAAACAGAGCAAACAGCAGAGAAGACACAGCTGCATGACCCTGAAAGGAGGTTACTGCCCCCCAAGGACAGTGCAGTTGAGTGACAGGTGCCCCAGACACAACCCTGGGAGCTCCCACAGGTTGGTTGCTCCCACACAGCGTGTAGACATGAGAGTTCATTCACTGTCTCAGCAAGCAGCTATCGAACACTCGCTCCATGCCAGACACACGGGAAAGAGAAATGGACAACCCAGGCAATGTCCCTGCCCCCATGGCCCTTACATTGTCGTCAAGGAAATGTGAGCAACAAGCCAACAGGTCAGAGAACAACTTCCAACAGTGATAAGAACTCTAGAAAACAAGTAATTGTGATCAACAATTGGAAGAGGCATAACTTAGATCATCAGGAAGGGCCTCCCTGAGGAGGTGGGGTTTGAGTTGAGACTTGAATGCCCAGACCTCAGGTGTATTCAGATATGAGATAGGCATTTAGGGCAGAGGGAGCAGCATCTGGAAGGTAGGAGCAGTCTGTTCAAGGAGTAGGATCGGTGTAACTACAGTATGGTGAAGTTAGAAGTAGAAGGTAGGAGATGGGTCAGAAAGAGAGGCAGGAGACTTGTAAGGGATCATACGAAGCTTGAAGTTGGAACTTGAATATATTGGGAACTCTCCATCAGTTATGGCTCTTTAGGTGAAAAGAGGAAAATTTCCCTTAAACCAGCTTAAACAATAAAGATAACATTGGCTCACAAAACTGAAAAGAGGATATAGGCTTCAGGGATGGTTTGATCAGGACTCAGCTCCATTTCTCTGCATTTATTTCAGCTCTGCCCTCCTGTGTTGGCTTCGTCCTCAGGCTGGCTTCCTTTATGGTGCCAAAAGTAGTGTAGCAGCTCCAGGCTCACATCCCCACAATAGCACATCTAGAAGAGTAGCTCAGTGATAAGGACTATCTTTCCCTTACTCACCAGGTATGGTACGGAGTAAGTAAGAAAAAGAGGCAGTAAGAAAAGCAATGATCTTACAGAGTTAACCTCTGAGTAGAGACCCCATGGAGCCCACCTAAGAAATAGTGAATGAAAGCCTACGATGGTTTGGATCCTCTAGGCATGCAGCATAGAAGTGTGATTCCAGATACATAAAGACAAGGACGTAGAGTATCTAGCAGACACTATGGCTCTTAGATTTCTTTTACAGCCCAGGCTTGGCTCCCTTCCCAGATGATTTTAAGGAGAATCATACTGTTGTCTCTCTCCAGCTAAGAACTGCTAACAGAGCTGGTGCCGGAACGCCCCAGGCACAGTGCACCTCTCTAGGGAAGAAATGTACAGAAAACCGACGGCAGCAGCATATCCAAGTAACAGCCATAAGGTGAACGCGACTGGGAGGGAGAGTGGCAGTAAGTAGGACAGTTCGGGAGAAAAACAGTGACGGAGCTGCAGGTGCTGAGACTGCGGACTCCGGCCAGAGCAGAGCGGTGCGAGGCTGGGGTGACTGTAGAACAAACACCTCGGCCACCCTCTGAAGCAGAGGCACAAACGACAGTGGGCCCTCTGAGCAGCCACGCTCCATGAACTGTCTTCCTGTGTGCACAGCACAGAACGCGGTCAGGGTCACGTGATGGGCGCTGAGGCGCAGCCCCCCCGGAGGTCGACAGTAACCTTTACAGCCTTGTGTGTAAAAGATAACCCAGATTTCCAGGATGGTAACATGGATGTAAACAGGGCCACTTCTGTGGAAGGCCAAGGAGCTGCCCCTCCAGCCCTGAGCCCTCAGCCCTGCAGCCTTTTCCCACACCTTCGTCCTCAGAAATGTGCGAGAGTCCTCTGGGGACTGCCAAATGCCATCTCTGCCCCCCCAAACGACAAGGCAGGCCACGTGAAGAATCTTTTATTGCCCTAAAACATCTGGTATTACGAATAGAAAATACAAACTGTTTATAATAAAGCAATGGATTCAGTAAACATTTGGTTACCACATTTTAAGGGCTGAAGAGGAAAGACCTTTCTCCTTGTCGCAAAGTAAGGTCCACCTTCTCTCCACCTCCCTTCCACCCCTAACTCACTCCCCCCATCAGAAGTGAACTTTTATTCCAACAGAGAGTCTGTACACACACGCCAGGCTCACCTCAGGCAGCGGCCTAAGCAGCCCAGCACTGCAGCCAGCGCAGGCTGCCCCGACATGCTGCGGCCAGGGCCGTGGCCACAGCAGATCAGCACGGTGGTCAAGATCACAGCTGCGCAATGCACAGGAGAAATGCAAAATGTCTTATTTTCAGGAAAGGCGACCCAAGCCCATGAGTAGAGCCAGACAGCAAGGTAGGCAGAAGAGGAGGTCAGCTTGAGATGGTTCCAAGGGAATCCCTTTAAATTGAGAACATCTGATAAAGAGTGTTGCTCGAAGGGGGTGGGTCCAGATACTGTCCCCACCAGAGGTGAGATATGCTTAATTCAGGCAGACAATTCCCACATCAAGGGCCTCCTTCCTTCTGCCCTTTCCTCTCATCTCAGAAGCAGCATTGGGTATTAAGGCTGGAATGAATCAAGATTACTTTTCAGCAAGGTTACAGGCAGTCGGCTGGGATTTCCCTCCCTCCAGAGAACACAAGCACTTAGGCCAATGACCAAGTTTCTCAAGGCAGTGTCCAGATGAAGGCGTCAGAGGTCACTATGGCACACACAGAAGTCCCTGGGCAAGGACTTCTCTTTGGAAAGAACCTTCCCGTCCCCAAATCGAGTACCAGAGTTCCTAAATCCGGGCCTTCACAGATGCTCAGAAGGTGCCCAGCAGCCTCACACACCTGGGCGGTAAAGTTGGCCAAACCGCTTTCTCCTTCGTGGTCACAACAAAGCTTTTCTCAAATTTATTGATGTTGGTTTGATAGCTCTCAGGAAAGAGGGTTTGGAGACAGACCCCAAGGTCAGGCCGTGAGAATCGAGGCCCAGAGTGCCGAGGGGTTTTCTCCGATGAAGGTGGTTCTGATGGCGCTGTCTCTCCCAGAGAACTCAGCAGTCAGTGAGGCCCCACGGATGACCCTCATCCAGAGAGCAGCCGCTCCCGAGAACTGGGCTTCGAAGGGTCTTAAGACACTAGAACAAGTTAACATCCTGAATGAGCTCTCATCCTGTGATCGTTTTACAGGCCTTCTCCATAAGGGAGGAGAGGAAGAGGGAAGGCAAACCCCAGGCCAGGGCCGGCCCCCAGGTCCTGCACCAGCCTCTCCCGACACCAGCTCCCCTGACCCAAAGCGGGAGGGGCGGGGTCGAACCTGGACTTGGTGAAGGGTGCCATTTTCCCCGACTAGACCACAGGAGCTCTTGCGTGGGCTCCAGGAGGCACAGGCCCTGCCATCCAGGCCACAAGCATTCCAGCCGCTTCCCTCCAAAAGCTGCTCCAGTGAAGACTTCTGTGCTGGCAGTGAGCTGAGCTGACAGAAGGTGGGGGGTGTTCGTGTTCCCTGAGTCGCCGCCACCTTCCTCTCTCAGAAATGCTCCTCAGAGAGGGCCGAGGGGGCTTTGCTGGTATGGCTCTCCTCCTCCTCTTCCTCCTCTTGGAGCTTCTACAAGGCAAAACAAGCAGGCAGCCCTTTGGGTAAAGAGACACAGGACTCCACCCCGCCTGGAGCAATGCCTGTCAGTGACGCTGTATCAGTGGGAAACACAAGAGTCAGAGGCCACTCCACATCCCGAACAGTGAGCAAAGGGAAGGAGAAAACAGCCTCCAGCCCCTGCCACAAGTGTGCTTCACACACATACACACACATGCCCCATCACAATGCCATCAAAGGAAAAACAAAAAAGGCCAGCTTTCTGTGATGCCACCTCTGCCCACCATCCCACTTCGAGCGTCACTGTGCACGCTCTCTCCCTCCCCATGCTGACAGCCTGCAACTCACTGGGATTGAGCCTCAAGTAGCTGGCCAAAGTACCCGGCCCGCGACTCCCTCAGAAGTCCTGACTACCCCATCTGGAGGCAGCCCCAAGGATGAGGAGCACTGTTATAACGTGCATGCAATGGATGCGACAGAGACTTCAGAAAGGCAGGATGCCGGCCGCATATATAAGCTCAGTGGATGGAAACAGGTGTCTATAATTTGTGCACAGAGAAAAGGACCTGCGTAGTTGGCTCTGGCTTTCTCAGGGAGGGGGGCACAGGACTAGGATAGTCTTCTGGGTCACACTTGTTAGGTGGGCTTGGAATTAAATTTGGTCTGGAAGTCATCCCGTGGGGCCCCTGGGTGCACACCGCCACCTTGAGCACTTGTCTGCTGGTTTAAGGAGCGCTTTGCTTCTTAGCTCAAGGGCTCGTCTAGTTCGCTCGAAGCCCTCAGGCCCAGACACAGGACTGCACGGTCAACGGCACTCGGCTGGGGAGAGTGTGCAGGGCCAAGCTGCAGTGCAGGGCCGATGTGACACATGGTGCTTCTGCCCCAGGGAGTGTCGCCGGGCCAGTCCATGGTAGTGGCAACAGCTGGGCAATCCACCCTTCGCCTTCTCAGTCTTGCTAACTTGCCACCAGGTCAGCCTCAATGAGAAGCCTTCGTTAGGCAACTAGCAGCCTACTTAAGTGGATCAGGCAGGCTCTCTCTGGCACACACGCGCACACACACACGCCTGCCTCCGCCAGAGCCAGCAGCTTGAAATCACAACCAGAAGCCCAGGTTAATGGGGACAGAAGCACAGCCCCTGCCACTGTGGCTGAGAACTACCGACTGGAGGCAAAATAGAAACCAAACCAAGATTTTCATAGTCGAGGTCAGTTGTTACACACCTCCCAGAAGTTCTGTCTCTTTTTACCAAAACTATACACCTCACTGATTAGAAAGAGCAGCTCTGTCCAGATCTGCTGTGGGCTGTGTCTTCCCCTGGCTCTGATAATGAATCCGTGTGCTGGGGCACAGGTCTTAACTTACACTCACTGCCACGGGGTGTGTAATGATGGGCTCCAAGGAGGGGTGCTCTGTGACAGCCCTGGCTTCCCTGGGTGTCAGCCCAGCATGACTCTGACCTCCCCCTAACACTAAGCTGGCCCAGATGTAAGTGAGGGACAGAGACGCGTAGTGAGTTATCGAGGGACACCAGCACCAGACTGAAGTCTCCTCCTACTCAGTGCTCTTTCCAATACTCCACACAGAAGGTGACTGAGCCAACACCTCCAACCTTGATTAACCACGCCATCCACGTGCACAAGGATCTGGCTGCAAGAATAGTGAAATAGTGGAACAACCTGAACATTCAACAAGACGAAATGGAAATACATGTATGTCGATATGAGGCTGTAAAATGTCATGGTGTGCAGAGGTTGTAAGCTATATTAAGTAAACAAGCAGGGCAGAAAACCAAATGTGCACAAGCATATGCATAGAAACGTTACTAGGTTATCTCTGGGTGCAAGGATTGTAGGTGACCTTTACATTCTTCTTGGCTGACTATATCTGCCAACGTAAACACAGATTATAAAGTAAACATAGAAGAATGCCATATCACTTGACACAATATGTCACATTCCACATTGAAACCTTTTCACGAGAAATCTATCCTGGTTTAGTACAGGCACCTTTTCCCAGGCTCACCATATAGCCACCAAAGTGTTCCACATCATTAGGTTTCCTTGTCCACGGCACAGGGAGAGCCGTCTCCACAGTGCTGACGCCGGGCCTCTCCCCATCTAGAGAATAGCATTTCTGCTCCAAGGCTTTCCCTGTCTCCCCACTGAGTTTCCTGCCCTAGGCTCCTCCTCCCACAGGCTACCTGCCTCTGCCTGCCAGCTCTGGAGCATGAGATCAGAAGACAGATAGTAGAGAACTAAGGTCATCATCTGTCTGCCAACGCATATCCTTAAAATGCTAAACGTACCTCTTTCAGATCCATTTTTTCCTGAGAAAATTGGCAAAGACTTTTCAAAATGATAAATCCTCAGTGTTGGCACTCATTCACCGCTACAGCAACGTGAATGGGTAGTGCTGATGGTAGCTTTCTAGAGGACAGATTAGCAATACATTTCAAAGTCCTAAAAATGTGCTTGACCACTGATCCATTTCTCAGGGAAATACTGTGCTTAACAACATGCACAAGGATTCAGCTTCCAGGACATTAATCACAATATTATTTATAACAGCAATTGGAAACAATCTAATGTCCACAGGCAAGAAAACTGTTAGACAAATCATGGTTTATCCATGCGCAGTCATTAAAACACTGTGCAGTCATTAAAAGTATGTTATAAAAGACTAATGACCTGATAAAATGTTCACAACACATGAACAAGCAGATACAGGAAGATTCCATTTTTGTTTTAAAAAAATACATGTATATGTGGATATAGACATGGATAAGTAAATGCAAAAAAATAACATCTCATCTCTAGATGATGCTATTACAGGTGATTTTTAAATATTGTACACTTTTCTGTATCTTTTTGTTTTTCTACAAAGAATGTGTATTATCTCTGTAACAGGTTTCAGTGTTTTCTTTGTTTTTTAAGAAATATCTCACTTATACTCCTTCTCAGATTTGATATTCCTTTCATCCTGGGTCAGATTTGATACCTAACATTTTGGTTAAAACAGTTCCCAGCAAATTTGAGCAGATGGGAAACACTTCTCTGTTCTAGATCATGCTCCTGGTCCTTTCCCCTTCCACCACCATCAGCTCCTGCTTCCTGAACTGTCCTTTTAAAGCCCTACTGGCAATCCATTGGCTCCAGTCCCTCCATCCCCATCCCACTGCCTAAGCAGCTGTCATCTGCCACCAGAGCTACTGCTTTGGGGCCACCACCACCCTGACAGAATGGTCAAGCCTGGCTGCCACCTCTCCTCTCCAGCCACGGACCCCAGGCTGAAAGCAGTGGAGCCAGGGCCTCAGGGCATATCTCAGGATGAGGGGTGGGCACTACTCAGCAGACTGTGACAATAGTGATGTCCTCTGGGGACCAGAGCAGGGAGGCCAGGAGAAGGGCAGGAAGTGGGAAAAGAGCCCGGGAAAGCGCAGCAGAAATGCAGTGCTGAAACACCCACTGAGCAAACTCTGGGCGCCATGTTTGTGAGAGTTGAGATGGTCTCACAGCCACCATAAAACCAGTCCATTCTGGGAGCTCCGCCGGCCCCCACCGATGTAGCCACATCCTCAGCAAAGCCAAGAACTCAGAACTCTGCCCAGCAAGCTCCCACATACTCACATTGTCAGGAGTTTCCTTGTTTGCTTTCTGCCTCCGGAGATCTGCCTTAATGAATGCTGAGGTCAAGGGGTCGAGAAGGAAGAGCAACAGAGAAACACAGTTATCAAGCCAACCAATGGTCAACTTCATCCAAGGGGGAGCCCTCATTTTCCCTATGGTCACAGGTATCCCAGACCTACTTCGCATATTCCAGAGAGCTGGGGGTACCATCAGCCACCTTGATAAAGCCTGCTGTCCCTGACAGGCAAAAGCCAATGATGACACTGACCTTCATAGATCACCTGTATTTGCCAAGGAGTTGGCACACATTGCTCTAATCCTCGCAACAATCGCCATTTTACAGAAGAGGGAAGGGAGACTCCCAGAACTTGGTTCACTTGGCCAAGGTCAGATAGCTATGGAGATCAGTGTCATGGTCCGGGATTCAAATGAGGGTCTTTTGGCACCAAAGCCCATAGTCATTCCATCAATACATGCTACTGCCTCCCAAACAGATTCCCTAACAAGGACCCTAACCTCCTGCATGTGTACCCCCAATCTGTGTGATCAGTCAAGATACTGGGGTCCCAAATTGCCAACAGCGTAAGCCCATAGGCAGCCTGAGTGCCATCTTGTCCTGAGGCCCTGACTCACCAGTGAGGACTACTCCAAGGGTGAGGAACACACACAGAAAGATGTTTCCGGGCATGGCCCCAAAGTTGTCGATAATCTGGCCCTGGGAGATGGTGAAGATGATCCCGAATACCTGGAAAGGCACAAAGAGTGGAAATAAGGGCCCAGCCAACTAGCCCGTGGAGGAACTCAGCTCCCACAATGCAATGCCTATGCCAGCCAAGCCAGGCAGCGAACCAAGAGCCACTGCTTTGGGGCCACTACCAAATAAGAGCCTTACCTGGGCAGACACATTAAGGAGGCCAGACGACATGCCTTCTGATTCTGGGTATGTCAGCTCCACAGCAAATTCAAATCCCAGAGGGAGATAGCCAGTCATAAAGAAGCTGAAGGCCAGACCACAGAACAAGGTGATGGAGAACTTCCAGAACAAGAAGGATCGGGGCCCACCTCCTCCCTTAGAACTCCTTTCCTGTTTTGTTTCTTCCCATCAAGACATGCCAGGCCCTTGAATGGATCAGGCCATCCCCCAGGTGGCCATACCAAGGAAACAGAGACCCCTGGAGGCCAGGAGGAAGTTCATATGGAGGCTTTGTGCTCAGGGGGCCTCTAGGGGTCCCCTGCTTCTTCTCTGTCCAGCCATCAATTACAGGCAGAGTCAGCATTTACAGAAGGGCTGGGGATGCCTGGAGTGTTCAGTCCTCAGCCAAGAAATTCTGTGTCCTGGGTACACAGGCCCTATGCTGGGAATGGGAAGTTCTTGGATATTGAACAGCTTCTCCATGGCCCTCAGAGACCTGGAACAAGGAGCTCAGAGTCCTCCTTATTTCCCTCCACAGAGCTGCCAGCTGAGAAGGACTCAGTGTCTGTCTGTCTCTCTGAATCTCTCTTTCTCACGCACACACACAAACATACATACTCATGAACTGCCTACACAAAAATGATTGGGAGGTAAAGCTGAGCAGGCCCCTCTTCAGGCAGGCCACTCATCATTTACAGATGAGGAAACGGAGGCCAGAGTGGTTAAGTGATGGGTCTGTGGTCTAATAGTCAGCACCAGAGCTGAGACCAGGACCCAGACTTTCTGACTCTCAGCTCATGGGGTCACAGAGCTGTGACCCCATGTGGTCCCAGGCAGAGCTGAAAAAACCTCTGAACGTGTCCTAGCCTCCCAGAGGTCTGTGAAGGACACACTCCATCCCACCACAGGGATGGGCCTGGGAGCCCGAGGTGGCCTTTTGAAGTGCTGCAAGTAAACAGGACATCTTGGCACCATTTCTCCATCCCCAGAGGTGAGTGAGAAGGCAGCAAAGGGATCAATATTGCTTCCTAGGATGTCACCAGCTCTAGGAGCCATGGGATGGTGCTTTCCAGGTAAACAGCTTAGAGGTGAAACTTACCCCATTGTGCCAGCGGTGATGAACACTACCCACAGGTGTCCCAGGTTCAAGGTCAATGTGTACACCACCATGCCCACCAGAGTCATGATATAGACCACCAGGGTTGTCTCCCTACAAGCAGAGGCAAAGAGGTTGAGTCATACACTTCTGACTTTAACAGGATCATTCATTCATTCATTCTACAAGTATCTGTTGAGCACCTGCTGTGTGTCAAGCCGTCTGCTGTGTGCTGGGACATCTGCTCTCATAGAACTTTCTGTCCAAGAGGTCGGTGGACACTAAACCAATGATCACACAAATAATTCCTGAAGTACACTGTGGTCAGTGCTAGAAAAGGTGAGACCAGTAAGCATGAAGCTGTCTGCTGCACGTGTGTCCTCCTGCAGAACACTCTCAACGACATCTAGCAGCACCTTGACTCGTCATGTCTACCCACAGCAGTAAGGGAACAGCCCTTCCTTGCCTCATCCTGCACCAAAAAACTAAACAGGACCAACACGAGCTCTGGTCAGGTGGCAGTGGCATGCAGAACTACCCCAGAAGCCATCTGATTCTGCTTGTCTGCTGTCCCCACCACCCCATGACAATGCTGGGCAGTGTCATTAGGTTCTCTCTGTCTTCTCTGAGTTCTTCCTGTTGCCACGTGCACAGTAGCAGCACAGCTTTTCCTGCTGAGTCTGAACCACTCCACTCCAGACAGCAGGACTGAGAGAGAACATTCTCCAGCCCTGAACTAGTGCTTGACTCCAAAGCAAAAGTGAGAAGGCTCTGCCCACTCCCTGTGACATCTCCCTGTGTCTGTCCCCTGGGAAGGACCAACAGCAACGTGCTGGTTTCGGTTTCAGCCTCACCCTGATTGTGCCCTCCACACGTGTCTCCTCCCGTGCTGTGCGCTCAGGACTCTGCTGGGCCCTGACTCTGCCGCGGGACCTGCATTCCTCTCCCTGCCCCACTCACTGCAGGGCCCGGCTCTGCACAGCCCTCCTCCCTCCCGCCTCACACATCAGGACTCCGACACGGAAAGCTGACTGCCTTCACTGCTTTCCCCTGGAGCCAGAAACACAGCTGGGGCGCCAGCAATGCGGACTGAGGCTATGTCCTACTGATACCGCATTTATCAGGCGCCAGGAATTCTGCGAAGCACTTCACAGGCATTTATTATTTCACTCAACCCTCACAAAACCCGGGCAAGAAATGCATGACTATCACTACTTTTACAAATGAGGAAACTGAGGCTCAGCCAGTTAAGTTGTTTGTCCAAAGACACCTGTTGAGTAAATGCAGGACTGGGATTGGAACCCTGCACTCTTTCCGCCACAGCACCCAGGAATACTAATGCACTGTGTGGTGGCATCTTTGGAAAAGCTTAAGGCCAGAGCCTCTGAAGGAGGCCCCCCACCCAGTGCTCAGAGCTGCTGACGGTAGAGGAGCTTCCCCATCCCCCACCCTGCAGAATGCACCTTCATGGACACCAGGCTCTCTCGCTGAGCCCACAAGCTCATCTTTGCATGTTTGTTTAATCATAGCTTCAGTTTAAACCACTGACCCATCTTTCTAGAAGAACTATCTATAGTCTCAGCCTGACATCAAGGGATCGGACGACCCAATTTCCAGCCTCCAAACCAAACAGAACAAATCTGGGAGCCTTAGGGAGGGGAGAAATGTCACCGAAATAACCAGATCACAGAGCTCTCACCTCCTTTCTCTGCCTGCGTAGTACTGCTGCCTGCAGAAGTGAGACATCAGGGGACACCAGGAACTGGTGACGCTTAGGTTCTGAGGTGTCCTCCCCAGCCCTTCCATTGTATTCTCCAGTTCGTCTGAATCATCTGGCTGCCCACGTCCCAGCCCAGCTGACATTCCAATCCCTCCCTTCTCCTGCCACAGGGCAAGCCCTGGAAAAAGGGACCCTGCTGTTCCCCGGCTTGGGGGTGGCCAGGCCTCAGGGCTCTGGTGTCTGGCCGTGAGCAAGCAATTGACAGATGGCAGAGACAAGACGGCAGCCAAGCTCCACCAGCAGTACTTAAGCCAACCCGGGCTCCTCGTCATATTCAGCCAAGCTGCCACATCCCCAGGGATGGCCTCAATGGGCCTTTGACTAGGGTGGCCAGATTGAGACCTGGTCTGACCACAGCCTCACAGAAGCGGGTTTGTGTGGAGAGAACAGGTCTGCTACTGTCTGTCGCCTCCAGACACTGGGAACTTTGGAGGCCTTGACAAAGCAGCCCAGAGGACTGCCCTGCCTCAGCGCAGGACAACCCTGGCAGCTACCCTGCCAGCCAGCATTAATTGAGCACTCACTGCATGCAGAGGACTGGAAGGACACTACAAGAAGAGAAGGATATCGGACGTCTGTTCTCCAGAGACTTTTCTCCAAGGCTGACTACTGAATTGAGACCCTGGGATTGCTTTTTACAAATGCAGATTCTCCTACTGAACTGGCATCCTGAGGGTGGGGCCCAGGAATCCGTATTTCTAACAAGCATCCTGGATAGCCTGGCGTACACTAAAATCTCAGTGGGTGTTGGGCATTCAGGCCCAAAGCACATCACAACATTTACCAATGAGGTGTAAGCAACTGCAAGATAATACACTGCAAACTGGAGGAAGCACAGAGCACCTTGGCTGACCCATGGGGTCCAAGAGGGAGCCATGGGCACAGGGCAGTGGAGTCACCTCCCCACTCTGCTCTTTGGGGTTTCCACAAACTTCCCAACTGCTGCCATTTTTCCACATTCATTTGTATTTCTCCCTCTTCTGCACCTTGCACAAGCTGCTTGGGGGCTGGGACTGGGGAAGGTGCCGTGCTTGGCCTCATGTCCTCCACCTCAATCTTCCTAAGATCTCCACGGGGCGGCTATTGTTTCCCTTATTTTATAAATGGGGAAACTGAGGCTCGGAGAAGATAAATTTCAGTTGCCCGCTTGACCACTCAAACCCCGAGCTGCCGCACCCAAACCTTTGGAGCCGTATTGCTAACGAATGTGTCACTTCAGAACATGGGTCCCCAGTTCACAGTCCAGGAGGAAGTCACTTACTTGTAGGTTTTGGTCTTATCCAGCCAGATGCCTGAGATCACAGCCCCGAGCATTCCAGCTATGACGATGGTCAGGCCGATTCTTCCAGCGTTCACTTCTTCCCCCTGGGAATCCACAGCCCAGATGAGCACTCAGTGAGGGGACAAGACACTGGACAGGGCACAGTCCCCATGGCCAAGGGGCAAAGGCAGGCAACTCGGGCTCCATTAGAGCCAGTTCTCAGAAAGTACCAGGAAGGTGGTCTGTAGGAAGCTGCAGTGGGGAGAGAGTCCTAGAATGGTTGTTCCTCCCAACATAACATACTCCGGAGTGTGTGCGTGATGCTGGATGCTGGGGGGAACCCAATTCTGTCCTTGGAACCACTTTTGGGTAGATTTTTTAAAAAATTTAATCCTGACAGCAACCCTTTGATTTCTCATTATTCCCATTTCACAGATGGGGAAACTGAAATATGTATATCCAAACATTCCATCCTTAGGTTTTGAGCTATCAGTGCCAAAGGAAGAGGAAGAGAAGAGGTACACATTTCTGAGTGCTTATTATAAGGCAGACGCCATGCTGAGGACTTTACACCATCTCATTAACTCTCATAATTCCCCACCATAAGGTTAGGAACGAATATTCCCTATTTTACAGATGAGGAAACTGAGGCACAGTTGGATTAACCTGCCGGCCCAAGGTCATGAGGCATTTATTAAGTACACAGCTAGGATTTGAACTCAAACCTGTCAAATGCCAACTCTGGAACGCTGAGCCACGGTGGCCACCACCTCCCAAAGTGGGAGACCCTCGTCCTTTCAAAAGAGGGCTGGGCCCAGGATTCCTGACTCCAGGACACTCGGAATCCCACTCCCAGTGTCCAGCCCTCACTGATGCTGGAAACATTTAGAAAGAACGATCAGTTGATCAACTAAGAGCTCAAATTAAACCTTGCTAATATTTTATAAATTAAATATTTCATATGATTCTATATGTCTATTTGTTTACCTCATGTGTCACCAGGCACCATGCTCTGTGCTTTACATATATATAATAGATACGAATACATATATATACACATACATGATGTTATTTACTTTCTAATCCTACAAGTAATCAGGAAGTAATTATACTTCTTTCACAGAAAAGAGAATGAGAGCCCAGAGAGGCTAACTGGCTTGTTACACAGGTTAGTACCACCAAAGCTGGGGTTGAAACCCAGGGCCACCTCCCTCCAAATCATATAAGCATACGCCACCATACCACGCCGCCACAAACTACAGAGAACCAAGAATTAACTGCTGCCCCAGCTCTGGCCAAGACACACTCAGAAGTCTCATAGCCACAGTGCAGCGTGCTTAGGGATCTGCCTTACCGGGTAATGCAAGATCACCATGCGATTCAGCAGAGTGGACAGGGCATAAAAAGCACCAGCATTCAGACCTAAGGAGGGAGGGAGAAACAGAGCATTAGGGTCAGCCTTCCACTGGGGCCGTTGCTAACTTCTCCCCCCAGGAGTCAAGGAAGTCCTCATCTTCTTTGCCACGATGAGTGGTGTCCTCAGAGACGAAAAAGCCAGGGCGTATGAGGCTACCTGCAGTGTTTCTCAAAGAAATATTCCAAAACAACCAAACGTAACCATTTGAACCTTTCCTTGGCCACAACCATTGCCCTTGATCCCTTTAACTCTGCCCTGGAAACACAGGCTCTGGAAACTATGACTTCCAAGTCAGAACCGTCTACATTCCTCTTAAGTGTTGGCTAGGCCTATGGGGTCAGTGCAACTACTGGCACCTTCCACTTCCTCCTGATGACCTTTCCCCTCTCCAGACTGCTCCAGACCTCTGACCCCTGACACCACTCCCTCCACAGGTGGCTTCTCACCTCTTTCTCCATCCGTCTTACAACTTTCTTCTCAGATTCAATGTCACACAAATTCTTATATTTGAAACCAGAAAGGACCCTAAAGAGCATTTAGTGGACTCTCCTAATTCATCGACTCATTCAACAAATGCGTCACCCAGAGAAGTCCCTAAAACATTTTCCACATCTAGTGCTTTGTTTTGAAGTTGTGCTTGCTCACAGGAACCAAGGCAGAACAATGCCAGGGGGCCACACTGCACAACCAGCCCAGACCAGAAAGGTCCAAGATGGCAATGGGGTGCCAGGCGCAAAAGGAAATGTGTGTAAAAGGTGCCGGGTGCAAGAAGGGAAGATCTGTGCATGCCCCAAATGCCCCCGTTCCCCTTCACATCCCATAAGAACCCTGCTCACCCTCCCTTGGAGAGAAGGTGTTTTAGAGCGGGAGCTCTGCCTCCTCATCCATTCATCAACGAAGGACGTTTCTGCTCTGCTCCCCCGAACCTGGGCTCGTTCTATGGGCACGAGTGGCCCCGGGCAAAAGGACCCACTTGTGGGTCACTGGTCCCTTAGGGCTCAGTAACAAATGGAGCACCTAGAATATACTGTAAGAATCCGGGTCCTTAGAGAATGAGGCCATTTGTCCAAAGTCATACAGTGAGTTAGTAACTGGATCAGACGGGAACTGACCCAAAGGAGAAAGGGGCTCCTGCCCTCCCTTCACAATAACGGTGATGGTGATGATGATGATGCTGGCAGCAGCACATACTTATGTACTAGACACTGTTCGAAGCACCTTACATGTTCTAAGCCTCATAACAACCCTAGATGGTAAGTAATATTATCTTCCCCATTTTATAGACAAGAAAGATGCACACAGATTTTAAAAACAAATACAGAGGCCACTCAGTAATGCCCACCAGGGGTCTTTTTAATTTTAACTAATTTTGAGGCTCCCAAGTCTACCACCGGCACACTTGACCTTAGAACCACTTAGACGGGTGGAGGACAGCCCGTGGGCAGGGCAGCCTCAGGAGTTCCTCTTCAAAGGAACCGGTCCATAGAACCCCAGGCCACGGAGCCAGCCAGAAGCTATCCTCTTTGGCCCCCAGGGTGATGGCTCAGGTGCAGGGGAGGGAGATATGGCGTCCCTGGTTCAACACCTCACAGGAGCTACTGTTGCTCGTAATGACTCCATAGGCATAGCTTCCAGGTCCCCATAAAGGGCAGGCCAGTGAAAAGAGTCCCCGTACTCAGAGACGCACAAAGAATGGCTTCCTACCAGATATGAAAAGGTCTCCCAGCCCAGCTGCAGTCATCTTATCCCAAGAGGTCATTTTTAGCATAAGCAACGTTGCCTAAATGCAGATGACTTACGCCCTTAACAGGTTTCCAAAGGAAGGAGACACAAAGTTCAGTGTAGACCAAATTTTCTCATGCAAAATGGGAAAAGAGGTTTTGTTTCCATTCCCATACCACAAAGGTAGTAAGAGGCAGGGCTGGATTTGAATCCAGACTATATGGTGCCAAAGTCCTCAATCTTAATCACTCTACTTTACATCCTCACAAAACTGATTCTCAAAGATTTCCCCAGGGGCCGGCTCCGTGGCCGAGTAGCTAAGTTCGCGCGCTCCGCTGAGCGGTCCAGGGTTCGGATCCTGGGCAGGGGGACATGGCACCGCTTCTCAGGCCACATAGAGGCAGTGTCCCACATCCCACTACTAGAAGGACGTGCAACTAAGACATACAACTGTGTACAGGGTGGGTTTGGGGAGATAAAGAAGAAGAAAAAAAAAGATTGGCAACAGTTGTTAGCCCAGGTGCCAATCTTTGGGGAAAAAAAAAGGAAGATTGGCAACAGTTGTTAGCCCAGGTGCCAATCTTTAAAAAAAAAAAAAAAGATTTCCCCAGCTCAGGCGACTAACAGTTTCGTGTCTCAGTCTATGTAGGCAGGTCTCCTCAGGGAAGTAGCAAGGTTGGGCTCAGTGCTGCCTCCTGAGGGGCACAGGGCCACAGTGGGTTGGCAAACCCAGAAGTATCACCAAATGTTGCTACAACTGCCAAGAGGAGGGTGATGCGGACTTTGAGGCTCTCAGCAACTTCTTACCCAACAAACATACCTAACCTTCATACCACACACCCAGCCACTTGGAAATTCCATTCCTGAGTCAAGAGGTCCCACAAGGAGACACGTTCCTGAAAGGGGGTGGGGTGGAGTGTGGGCAGGGCGAAGGATGAATCAGCCCCTCTTCCTGCTCCTTACTCCTCTCTCAGCCTCTGGTCCTGGCCCAACGCTACAAGGGGCAAGAGGACGCTCAAGTCAAGCTTAGCGTCAGGTGGGATGACTGCCCTCAGCTTGGGGCCCAGCTGGGATGAACAAGGAGGGCAGAATCCACAGGAAGCAGAGGGAGAACTGGCGCAAAGCAACCCCACCTCCAACACCAGCACCTCTGTCACCCTGAAAAACGCGGAGGGAGACAGAAACCCTGAGCAGGCTGACCCACACTACTGAAGCTGAGCAGGGTCATAGAGCTCAAGGAGTTAGGGAAATCAGTCCCACGTCAGCACCACCTGGAAGCTTGTTAGAAATGCAAATATTCTTGACCCACCCCAGACCTACTGCTGGAGAAACTCTGGGGGAGGGGCTGGCAATCTCTGTTGGAATAAACCCTGCAGGTAATTCTGCTAGTGCTCAAATTTGAGACCCACTGTTTCTGCTAGATTCCTGTGATTTAGCAATAGCCATCCCAACTCCCAGCCAGACAGGGGGCTGAATCAGCACTTAGGCAGGGTTGGGGGAAGGGGAGTGGGGGGGTAGCAGGGGCTCACCCTGGAAGGCTGCCATCCTTTCCAATTGTTTCTAAACTCCAACCCTAGAGGAATTAGGAGCTTCTGTATGCTTTCTGAATCAATCTTTAATCTAGATATCCCTCCCATATTGTCAAAGGTCACCAGACATGGTTAAACAGCACAGATTCACTCCACTGCCCAAATCAGGGGGCTCGGCGTCCACACTGAAGGGCAGGAATGAATGCGTGCTCCGCCCTGTGTGTGAGCCCCTCTCACAGGAAGAGAGGCCACTGTGTTGTATTTGGGTGTGATTGTCCCCAGCAAGGCAAGGCTGCCAGGTCAGGGCTGTACTCCTGGGAGAAAATGTGATCCCCTGAAAGGCCTGGTCATCCTGGTATCTGTCACTGGGAGAAGACTCGGTCACTGAGGAGACGGGCTTTAGGAAGGTAGGAAGGACGTGTCATCACTCTGAGTTTCTCCCCTTTGTCAAGACCAGTTTGTTCAAACTGTGGTCCAGAGAACACTGGCATTAGAAGGATTGAGAGCTTAAAAATGCAGACGCCTGGACTCCACCCTGTACCTACTAAGTCTGATTCTTCTGGAATGGGGCTAGGAACCTGCAGTTTAAAAACAATAACAAGAAAAAACCCTGAGTGTTGTTAAACTCGCTGGAGTTTGGAATAAATGGCCTTGAGAATATGAAACCAGGCCCCCAGGTGCTGGGGTTACCATGGAGGCAGCTGGGATGGAAGGGGCTTCAAGACCGTGAAGATGATCCATAACACACCTGCTTTAGAAGCTCTCAACCCCGCCGCCCACCAGAATCGCCTGGAATGCTTGTTAAAAGCTGATTCCCAGGCCGCAACTCAGACTTTCTGAATTTGAATTTGCAGGAGACACAGGGACATCTATGCACACATTCAACCAAGCACCCCAGGGGGGTTCTGTCATCAGGAAGCTTGGGAAACACTGATCCCAGATCCTATCTCTACTCTGTGAACTACTCGGTGTTCATTTCCCTTCCGTCCTTCCTGAACTTGTAGTGAACTCTTGTTTCAAAGGGCCAGCCAGACCTCAGCAAAGCACCAGGGAATCCAGAGGATTCTATACCCACTCTGAAGCCAGGATCTCAGAAGGGGCCCAAAGCACCCTCCCTAGGCCCATGTGGGTGGGGCAGTGGGAAAGTACCTTGAGAGCCCCAAGGAAAGGTGTCCTCAGGACTCCCGATGACCAACACTGGAAGACAATTCAGAAGCACAGCTGGAGGCAAGGCTGCGGGATGACATGGGAAAGTACTGCCTTTGAGGACATTCTCTAGAGGAGGTGACTTTTCAATGATTCTTTTCAACATGGCAGTTGTTACACCTCTGCTGACAAGACATAACGGAGGCCGTGGGGAAGCAAGACCTAGAGACACAAGGAGAAGGCAGCCAAAGAAAGGCTCTTTTCTTCACGGCACCCCACTGCTCAGACACATCACAGGCCCTGCCCTCCCCCACCCTCTGGTAGACCCGAGGAGAATCTGGCTGCAGCCTACATCTTCCTGCGTCACCAAACTTGGAGGAGGGGAGGTATTTTACTAGAGGAGGAGGCAGGTTCTTGTTCCTGTGATATTGCTGCAACATCCAGCACAAACCCAACCTCTGCACCTCCCCTCCAAGCTGGGCTGCCAGATTTAAGAAAAGACAACAACAAAGGAAACTCTTAACCTCAAGTTCATGTGCCTGATGCGCCAATCACCAAGACATCAGTGCTGGAAGATGGAGAAAGGTTTATTCTAATTGGCCAAGATGAGAAAGCAGAAGGATAGGTTCTCTCAAATCTGCCTTCACAAGAGAAGAAAGCAGGGGGTTGTGTAATGCTAAGGGGTTTGGCAGGAGGAGTTTCAGAGAAACAAAGGGGTAACCCATGTTTCTTTCACTCCAGAAAAGCCCTTGGACATTCTGACTTCTGGGGCCAACAGCAGCTGGGGGCTGGTTATCTGGTGATTGTAACTTCCCTGAAAGCATTCTTTTTCTTTTGTGAAACAAGGTCATAAATCTTTGTGACCCTTGAGTCACCCCTCAGGTTAAACAAGAAAACAGAAAATTGACAAGATTAACTTCTTTTCATAGCAAGATGAAAGGTAATCTTCTGGAATATTTACAGTAACCCTCAGGTACCCAGCTTCACATCCACTTAAATTTGAATTTCAGATAAACAAATAATTTTTTACCCTAAATATGCCCCAAAGTTACATGGGACTAAAATCAGCAAATTTACCAACCAACAGCAAGGTGGATGCCCACAGTGTCTTTATTCACAAGTGCTTTAAAAGCTTTCATTTCCATTCGGAGTACTCCAACGGGAAGCAAATGTTATTACTATTTTCTGAGGGAAGGTAATTAGAGGATAGGCACAGAATGGGTGAAGGTGGTACACTCAGTAGTTGGTAGGGCCGACACTAAACTCAGACCTCCCACTTTGTATGTGCCAACTCTGAACTCACTGGTCCAGCATTCAAGGCTCTTACTCCAAGATGTACATTCACATTGACAAATAAAAATGGCAAGCAATAGGATACATTGGAGTATATGAGGAAGCCATTTGGTATAAACCTAATTCGGCCTGACTTTGTTTTTTCCAAAAGGGCCTGACTGTGGCTATTGTGCACGCATTGTATATCTGCTTAGACATTTCCTATGGCCAGAACAAAGGCCCTTGAGATAAAGGTGCAACTTCCCTCCCCCTCCCACATTGGCATTTCCTTAGGGATAAGCATCTTTCCTTAGGCTAGGAACTGATTGCTGCACTCACCTGTGACCACCCAGCTCACCTGTGACCACCCAGCTGGAGACAATAGACTGCCACCCTGCTGTGTTCACTGAGACAGAAGACCTACCTGCTATTTCCATCAATTGCTGTGCTGACAGAGCAGTCTGACTATTGTAAAAAGGACATTTCAATCCTATGTGAAACATCCTCTCTGGGGGTATATAACCAGTCTGTGCACCCCACTTCTTTGGTGCCCTTTCTTCCTTTGGGAAGAAAGGCCCCAGGCCATGGTCCTCAGATTTCAGCTCAGAATAAACTCACCCAAATTTTCATTTATAGATTGGTTATGGATTATTTTTGTTGACAACGTCCAGCAAATGTGCCTGTAAAACGCTATCATCTGCTTGATTCCAAGCTACGTGCTCTTAAGTGCATATAATTCAGAGGAAAATATGAACAACATATGCATAATATAAAAAGTATGGACCATTTCCCTCTTCACAGCCTAACCGGAAACTACACGGAGGGTGCATATGCTGGGGAATCTCTGGGGGATTTCAAAGTCTCCAGCTGAATTTATAGAGGGATTTTTGTTGTTGTTTTAGTTGGGAGCAAAGACAGTGGGAGAAGAAAGTAGAGATTCTGAGGTGGCCTGCATGCCAGACACTGCCTTTACGTGGCCTGTAAACCATAGAGAGAGACACACTAAGGCTGAGACCCCATCACCCCCAAATCCCAAAGATGGCTGGTCAATGTAGGTGGGTCCTGCTTCCAAAACCCTAGAGCTCTACACCTACACCTTAGAAGAAAGCAACCCCCAGGCAACTGGTCTGGAGGACTGAATCTGAGGAAGGACATACTCCCCTAGGTTGACCCAAAGACCGCTCAGGCAAGCACACTAAGAAAAGAGCCCCAGCTCTGTCTCCAAGAGGCTCCCATCTGCATGAAAAGGCAAAATGGCGCAGTGGTCAGGAAGATGGGCTTTGGCATCAGACAGACAGAAGTTTATATCCAAGCTCTGTTACTCACTAGCTGTCCAAATGTAGGCAAGGAACTAAACCAGAGCCTGCTTCCGCAGGTATAAAATGCAATAGAGTTAAGGACCTAAGTCCTGGGTCTGTTTTGAAGATTAAAAGAGATAACACCTGTAAGCACTAAACATGGTGCCTGATACATAATAATGACTCAAAATATTTTTCAAATCAGCAATTAAGCTTAAGAATCATTCCCTGTTGGGAAAGAGCCCTGTCACCAAGTCCAATTCTCTACCATGGAAATAAGGCTTGTGGTTTTCTGCAATGTGTCCAAATACCTAGGTTAGCTTAACTCCCTCTCACTGGGGTAATCCTAGGCCTTAGAGAAAAATGTTAATAAATCCTGTCTATACACAATAGAGTCAAATGCTTCCAGAGACTCAGAAGTGAACTGCTTTTTTAGTTTAGCAGTATCTCAACTTAAATGATGATTTACTTCCACCCCTTTGTCTCTCTCCTCTCCTTCTGGGACTCCCATTATGCATACGCTGTATTCTTGATGGTTTCCCACAGGTCTCTGAGGCTCCGCTCATTTTCCTCGTTCTCTTCTTCTTTATATTCCTCACACACAATAATTTCATTCAACTTATCTTCAAGGTCACTGATTCTTTCTTCTGCCAGCTCAAATCTGATGGTGAGCCTTCTAGTGAATTTTTCATTTCAGGTATTGTGTTTTCAACTCCAGAATTTCTATTTGGTTCTTTTTTATTTCCGTCTTTATTGATATTCTCCATTTGGTGTGACATCATTGTCTACTTTTCGTTCATTCTTTAGACATGGTTTCTTTTAGCTCTTTGGCTGTATTTACAGTAGTTGATTTACGATCTTTGTCTATTATGTCCAACGTCTGGGCTTCCTCAGGGACACTTTCTATCACGCATGTATGGGCAATGCTTTCCTGTTTCTTTGCATGTCTCATAATTTTGTGTTGAAAACTGGACATTTTAAATACCATGTCAACTCTGGAAATGAGATTCTCTTCCCTCCCAGGATTTGTTGCTCTTGCTGCTATTTGTTTAGTGACTTTCCTGGACTAACTTTGTAAATTCTGTATTCTTTGTCATGTGCCACTGAAATCTCTGCTCCATTAGCTTTGTGGCAAGCTAATGATTAAACAGAGATTTCCTTAAATACCCTAAACCAATAAGTCTCCCCCCTTTACCAAGGACCTCTGTGTGTGTGTTGGGGCTAACTTTAATGCTCCAGTAGGCAGGTGACAACTCTGCCTTAGTCTTCACTTCCTGCTTGCACAGAGCCTCAAGGGCAGTCAGAGGTGAGAGTTCAGGGCTTTCTCAGATCGTTCCTGGGCATGTATACAGCTCTGCACACGCATGTGGACTTGCAGATTCCTAAGAATATATCAGAGCTTTTCAAAGACCCCATGGATATCTCTTTCTCTAGATTTTCCTTTCAAGATTTTTGGCCAGCCTCTTGCTTACCCCAACTGCTACTGCACCTCAGGCAGCTATGACATTGAACGGTAATTATTTTCAACAAATGCCCAAGAAATTGGGCTCTCCCACTGAGCAAGTTCTGAGTCAGGTCAAATATAAGCAAGTCCTCTGCATAGGGCTTTTCCAGGGACCTTCCAGATAGGTGAAATAGTGACCAAGGGATGGGGCTCTTAGGGGTGACCCAAAACTGTTTTGCCCTCTCCAGTGGCTATGATGCTTCTGGTTTTCACTGCTACCGTGGCTGTGAGGCTGCTGGTTTTCACTGCTACCGTGGCTGCGAGGCTGCTGGTTGTCACTGCTACCGTGGCTGCGAGGCTGCTGGTTGTCACTGCTACCGTGGCTGCGAGGCTGCTGGTTTTCACTGCTACCGTGGCTGCGAGGCTGCTGGTTGTCACTGCTACCGTGGCTGCGAGGCTGCTGGTTTTCACTGCTACCGTGGCTGCGAGGCTGCTGGTTGTCACTGCTACCGTGGCTGCGAGGCTGCTGGTTGTCACTGCTACTGTGGCTGCAAGGCTGCTGGTTTTCACTGCTATCATGGCTGCAAGGCTGCTGGTTGTCAAGGTACTGCAGAGCCTGAGAGAGGGGTCTCAGAATAGGGCAAGTTGAAACACACAGCTCACTGTTCTTACCAGTATTCAGCCATTTTCTTAAATAAATGTCCCTTGGGTTGTTGCAAACCTTTGGTTAACAGTTCTAAAAAAACTGGTTTGACAATGTTTGTCAGTGTGCTTGTTGCTTTATGGAGGAACAGATTACCTAAGGTCCTGACTCCACCATTCCAGAAATGCTTCCCTATTTATTTCCTGTGTTATCATTTAACCAAAGAGATAAGAGTGTCCAGAAGTACAGGACTAAAACCACTCTGCCAGATTAAAGACCATATAAGCAACCAGCCATTCAAGAGGAAAAGAGAAGGTGTTCCCTTACTCCCATAGCATGGCCCAGAGCTGAGCCCCTCAATGACCAGGAGCAATGCTGTTCCTGGTACATTTTGTTCTTGTTTCTTGTTTTCATGGGTCAGTGACCTGAACCTGCCATCAACAGCCTCCAGCACTGAAGACCACAGCTTCTAGAATGGGACCATTGCCCAGTTATCACCATCATCACCCTTCTCATCCATAAAAAATAGTTATTTAAATACTCATTACCCTAGAATCCCAAGGTAGGCCTTGAATACCCTGCTGTCAGATGCAATAAAGTTTATGGTGGTCAAAGGTTAATGCTCTGAAGATGTTTAATTCCAGGGAAAAGTGAAATTTCTTAGAGCCATGGAATCCTGAGTCTAGAAGGGACCCCAAAAGTCATCTGGCTTCACCATTCATCTATAGCCTGGTTTTCCCCACAATATCCCCACGAAGTGGTTGGTCCCATTCACACTTGAATACCTCCCAGTGACAGGCAACTCATAACTTCTTTAGTTGGACATCTTAAGTATTAGAAAATTTGTCTTTATACTGAGGATGAACGCAGAGACATACTCAGAACCGAGAAGCTGGAGACAATGAGGACTAGAGACTGGAGACCTTGAACACTAATCTGGTCATCTAGAGCTATTCCAGGTGAGAGGTCACCTAACTGTTGTGTATGCCTGAAAAACAGGATGTCTCTCTACTGTGGATGATACCACCTTTATTTAGATAAAGGGCATTGATAAGCCGAAAATGAAACCCTGGCACAATTTCAGGAAGTAACATAGGCAATAATGGAACAGGCATAAAGAGTGCAGGCTTTGGAGTTAGACAAACCTGTATTTGAATCCTGGCTCTGCCTCTCAAAAGCTGTGTGTCCTAATCTCTGAGTTTCAGTCTCCTTATCTGTTAAGTGGGGATGATTGCAGTACCTACCTCACATGGATGTGGTGGGAGTTAAATCAAATTGTGTATGAAAAGTCTTGGCACACAGTAAACATTATTGTTCTTTATGTGTTCAATAAAACACATGGTTGGTGGGGCCAGCGCCGTGGCCTAGTGGTTAAGTTTGGCATGCTCTGCTTCGCTGCCGGGGTTCGGTTCCCGGGCGCAGACCTACACCACTCACTGGTGGCCATGCTGTGGTGCAACCCACATACAAAATAGAGGAGGATTGGCACAGATGTTAGCTCAGGGCAAATATTCAGCAAAAAAGAAAAAAAAACACATGGTTTGCCACCCTAAAGAAAATATGAGGTTATAGCGAACTGGGGTTTCACTAGAATAAGTTGTGTCAAACCAATCCCATTTCTTTTTGGATTATGGTTACTGAGCATGTCACCCACTTGTTAACTCTTGATTTTAATCAAACTACTGGTAAATTAAACAGTCAATTGTAGGCTGGACAGTAGTACATTCGGGTGGATTTGTAAAGATGCTCTTTAACAGAATACCATGAGGCTCTGTCCTTGCCCTTGTCTGCTCCAACATTCGTATGAAGCGTTGGGAAGAAGATGCAGAAAACAACACACTGGAAAGGTAAGCCAATATACCTGCATAAATATTCAAATTTATTCAAAAGCCAAGAAAATGAAATGAAAGAAGGACGTGGTTTTGCATTCAGGTAAAAAAGGAGTCAATGTTACAAGCTGAAGGAGGATGTCTGAGGAGTGGTTCCTGTGGCAAGACTCACGTATGCATTCATTCCCTCACTCATTCAATGGCTAGTGGAGTATCCACACCAGGCTGGGCACTGCTGAGGAACTACAACGATGAAAAGATGTAAACCTCTGCTCTCAGGGAGTTCACAGTCTAGATGGAAGACAGAGCTGGAAACACTTTTTAAAAAATGATGAGTGTTAAGATGTGCCAGGAACAGCACAATAAAAGAGGAAAGGTCACCTAATACTGCTTTATAGCAGTGACACTGAGATGAGACTTGACAGATCAGCAGGCATTTGTCAGGCAACCTGACATGGGAAAGAATGGTATTCTAGGTGAACTTTACAGAATATGCAAAGGGCCTGAGGCACAGCTGACTCTTCTGGTTGACCCCAAACAATGACGTTACATACATATTTCAGATTTGGAAAAAGTAAGACGCACAGACACATCAGGCCTCTTGTCCCACATTCCCTGTTCAAGGACACTCCCAGACACCTGCACCTTACCATAGGTGATGACAAGCAGCACAAAGTTGAGGTTTTTGAAGAGCCGGACGATGGAATTTAAGTATGAAGCATCAGGGGACGCCAAGGCATAGCTCAGGGACTGTGCTCTGCTGGGGGGATGTTTAGGCTTCTCCTTGAATACTGAAAGGAAAGAGACAGAGATCACCACAAATCCCTGTGGTCCCATCCCTGCAGAGCTGGCTCCCTCATCTGAGGAGGAGCCCAGACTCCCAGAGGAAACAGTAATTCTTCAACTCCTTTACAGCCCCCTCTCTTGAAGCTGCGTCTCTCTGTCTGTGGCTGAGTGAGCAGATCTTTGATTGCTTTTCCTTAATGGACTCTGAATGGCTGCCATCACTGGGCCTCCCAGGCAATGTTCAAGGATCAAGGAGTCCCATAACAACCAGCAAAGAACACAGCACAGAGCCCTGAGAACATGCGGTCGAAACGTAAGGATGGAAAGGCAGTGAGGGCTGAGCTTTGGGATGAGTGAGCCCAGTTACTGGCTGAGCACCAGAGCTCCTCTCGAGGGGGAGGGATGGTGTTGCTCACGATTAGACAGAGCCTGGCACATGGCAGCCGGTACATATTCCCTGAAGAAATGAAAGGAGCTTCTTCTACTGGAAAAACTCAGGTCCTTTCCTAGTTTCTCAAAGTCTGAGTCAGACACCTGCCTCCCGAAGAGACAAGAGGATTAACACATGCTCCTGCAGGAGTAGCCACTCAGATACGAAGGACTGAGGGGGACATGGAAAACCATTCATTCTGTATCCTATTTTCAGTGCAACTGGGCCAATCCATTTGTCTGCACTGATTGCCATTCAGTTCTCTGGGGGGCAGATCAGTTTAGCCAGTCATTTGGCTAAAATGGTCCCCTAACTGGGTCCGAGCAAACACTGCGTGGCCTCCCCCACAATCCATGAGAACACTCCTCAAAGGTCAATAGGCTGTTTCCAGTAAGAGGAAGCTCTGCTAATGAGGTTTACTCTCTTGAAGATCAAAGGGCTCCCCACCCAGAAAACCCTCCAGCCTCCTGACTTCAGAGCCCAGCTTCTTCCTTCTCCGGAAACAGTCCTGTATGACTTCCCGCCATTGGGAACCCCTCATCCATTGTCTTGCCTGTTCACCTCCCCTTCCATCAGGGGAATCAAAGCAAGGCAAGAGGTTATTTATCTCTGCAACAGCAGGTGTTTGCTCAAGGACTTGGCAACCACAAAACAGAATTCAGATAAGATTTCTCAGTTCTTTACTCAATGAGCTACTATCTGTGCTTGATAATAACATGCCAAAACGTAGCAGTGTCCTATCGCCCAGATTTCAGCTGCAAAGGACCATGCCCTCACCAGCTACAAACATGAGAATTTGCAGGTGGGAACATCACAGTTTGGAACTTAAAGTCTGGCTGAGTGAGGGTCCCTGGCCGGATTCTTCTTTCCTGCTCTCACCCACGGCTCCATGGCTTCTCAGCCTTCCAGGACACCAAGTCCTCTGTCCAAGATATCTGCCAGCCTCTGGGGCCATCAGACAGCCCTTCCTCAGCTTGGACGCTGGGGAAGGAAGGACACAGTGAAAACAGTGGAGTGAGGTACAGATTGTAAAACTGACTCTGGAGGTGAGGCCGGCAGGAAGGACCAACACCTTTAACACGTGAGGTCGAAATTTCAAATGTTAGGAAGAAAGGCGGTTAAGCTTTAAAGACGAGTGAGTAACTGAAAATGAAAACCTCTACTATGCTGTTTCTGAATTTATCAGAGCCCATGTAATACCACTCAGATGGTGAAAGAAGATAAAATTCACCAAGTATCTCAATGATTAAATGTACATGCATATAAAATTAACAGTAGTTATCTGAGGTTCGTGTTTGGGATTAACTGGTACAAGGCTAAATTAATGGGTCTTCTTTTTTGTATTTTCTAGATTTTTCCATAATGAGGATATATTACTCTCATAATTTTTTAAAAATTTATTTAAAAAATGTGTACCAGTTATTCTCAGGTGATTCTATGAGAGAATTAGTGTTGGGGTCAATTCTGTTTTGTTTTGTTTCAGATATTTAGAGTCTGGAGTTTCACAAATTTAGGCTTGAATCCAATCTCCGCCACTTACTAGCTCTCTAACCTTGGATAATGTATTAACTGGCCGTAAGCCTCCCTTTCCTGTTTGTTACATGGGAGTGACAATGGTACTTCACTCACAGGGTGCTGAGGATTGAATGAGATCAGGCATGCTCAGCACGGGGCCTGTGACATCATAAGTGCTCACCGGGGCTTCATCAAGGGGATCAGCAGTCCACACATTAATTCTGGTGAGGTCATATGGGGAACTGGTTAATTACAACTAAACCTTGACTGAGCCACTAACAAAGTACAGGATCAGCTAGCACTGTATCGGTACCACCTGCTCAGGCAAAAACATTCCTCCCGTTTCTATCAATGTCCATGGTATTCCAGGGCCGTGTTCACAAGGTCCCCACCCAAGTCAGCAGAACCTCCTTGCCTCCCAGCCTCCCATCAGTCTACTTAAGGCCTTACCAATGATGACCAGGATGAAAAGCAGAGTGGCTACACCTCCTATTATGTAGAACATGATGCTGATGTGGTAGGCAAGCTTGTCCCGGTCTTGGATGTTGGGTACCAAAATAGGAGGGACCAAGAACCCAATCGCAATTCCAAGCTATAGAAGACAGAGACAATCAATCACAGTTACCAATGGCCAAGAGATGACAGCACAAACTTAAAGAGACTCCTAATAAGAAACATCATCCCTAACTTCCAGTGCTTCTGAAAACCCAAATAGGAACCCCCTTAAAAACCCCTCCCAAGGGCAAAGGGGCACATAAAAATGGTGACCGACAAATAATAACGTACAACTGAAATTTCACAATGTTATAAAGTATTATGACCCCATAAAATAATTTTTAAAAACCCCTCAAGACACCAGACAGATCTCTCTCTCTCTCTCTCTCTTTGTTTTGGTGAGGAGGTTAGCCCTGAGGTAACATCTGTTGCCAATCTGCCTCTTTTTTTTTCCCCCTCCCCAAAGCTCCAGTCCACAGCTGTACATCCCAGTTGTAGGTCATTCTAGTTCCTCTATGTGGGATGCCGCCACACCATGGCTTAATGAGGAATGCTAGGTCCACACCCAGGATCTGAACCAGCAAACCCTGGGCCACTGAAGCAGAGCACACGAACTTAACTACTTAGCCACGAAGCCGGCCCCACAAGATCTCTCTTTTGATTGACAACCAAACTCACACACCTCTGACCACCCTCACTTATCAATAGCTATTGAAAACAATTATAGTTGACGTTCTCAATGCAGACTGGCTCTTCAGTAGCTGTAAACTAATGAACAATGGTTCCTATATATTTCCATCTCTATGGTAGAGTAAAACAGTCTTGACTTTTTTTTCATACCACTTAAATTCTTTTTTTGGTTTTTTTGAGGCAGATTAGCCCTGAGCTAACTACTGCCAATGCTCCTCTTTTCGCTGAGGAAGACTGACCCTGAGCTAACATCCGTGCCCATCTTCCTCTACTTTATATGTGGGACGCCTACCACAGCATGGCTTGCCAAGCGGTGCTATGTCCACACCCAGCATCCGAACCTGCGAACCTCGGGCCGCCAAGAAGCGGAACGTGCGAACTTAACAGCTGCGCCACCAGGCCAGCCCCCACTTAAATGCTTCATTTCACTGAATCTGTTACCCTGGAGCTGAGAGACCAGCTGAGGGAAAAGTTCTACACCTACAACCACAAGAACTTACATTCAGTAAGAGACGGAAGCCTCAGTTCTTACCACATTTACAAACATGACAGCCTAAGTTCACTGTGTAAAGAACTTAGTGATTTATAAAGCATCTGTAGTGTGAAGTCACACGCAACTGCATACATTTATACACACAGGACATGGACACATGCAAACTGGCTATAAACACACACACACACACACACACATGAGCACGCACCAACAAATTAAAACATCTCATATCTGCGTGGAAGTTCAAACTCCAAGGACCTGACAGATAACGTGAGGTGGGTGTTTCCGAGGTCAGAGATGCCATGACTCAGTAGTGACAAGCTGTCATACGACTCCCAGAAGCCCTTCTGCCACACGTCACACCAAGGCAGAAACTGGAAAATAGCCTAACTCAGGCAAGCCTCAGATTCTAAGAGTAAAGGAAGACGAGGAGGTCTTCTGTCTTAAGGCGCCCCTTTTCCTTTATTGTATTTGAAAGGAGCTGCAGGTAGAGAAGCAATATGCTTCCACACCACACTGCACGCAGGTTCTAGGTACTTCCACTTTAGGCATCCTGCCGCAAGCATTTTTGTGGCATATCTAATTGTTCATAACGAAATTTTGCTGTAAAAGATAACATACCTGATTGAGAGTTTGGTTTTAATTGTTTGATAGTTTAGTTTCATTTCTTCATGGACACAGTATTGCCATGTTATATTATATAAATCTTAGCTCCACATTTCCAGTATAACTTTGGGACATTTATCAAAAGACATGTGACAATATGCCAAGAACAAATAACAGTGTAGACAGCTTTTCACAATGCAATTCAAAGCTCAGTTACAAATATGCATCTCATGGAAACTGATACCTCTCTTAACGAAGGAGCACGTTTTAGTGAAAAATAAAAAGTGTGCTGGATGCCAAACAAGGAGATGAATCAACAAGCAAAAAAAAAATGTAGACTACTATGAACGAAGGACTTTGAAGACAAGTGCTTAGGCCCAACCCACAAAATAAAGTCAGTTATTTGCACAGTATTGCCATGAATCTATACACATTTTAAATGTATTCAAATATTTTGTATTTTGAAATAAAGTCATTAATTTTATTATTCCTTTTTCATGTTTCATTATGTCCCTCTTTTATTTTTTGTGATTTTTATCTCTTACAGCAAAACTGTCCTATGACCAATTAGTTACGTGGCAAAAGTGCTTGCAGCAAAGATGTCTACAGCAACGATGCTTATGGGAAAATACCAGACACACAACACCATTCAGCAGCTGCCAATCTGTTGACTGTCTACACTGGTTTTCCAGCCTCTCAATTACACCCACTCAGGATGGTCACTAGTGGTCCTCAGCTCTGGAATATTCACAAAAGTCATCATCAATAGGCTCAGTATAGGGTTCTTCCAGTGTATGCCAGTATATAATCGACAAATCAAACCGATCTTTAAAGCATCTGCTGTGTGGAAAGTGTTCTGCTAGATGTTTAGGAGGCACCAAGATGCACATGGCAAGGTGCCTGCCTTCAAGGAGCTTTATATTCTAGGGGCACAGGGGGCATTTAAAATGAAGATACAAAAGATAACACAAATGGGGATACTTGTGGGTCGAAATTATAGAATATTATAGTTTGAAAGTTCCTTTGTCATCCTCTAATACAACTAATTATCAGTGGGACAAACGGAGGCTAAGTGAGGCTAAACTCTAGAGGTTAAGTGACTTGTTGAGGTCACGCAGAGCTGAGGTGAATAAACATACCCCCTGGCTTCTCAAGCCAGTGCCTCCTCCACTGGGCCTGGTGGTGGCCTCCAGGACCAAGGGCCTTGAGAAAGGCCCAGGCGAGCAGGCTTCTCCAGAAGAGAAGAGATACTTCACGTCCTCGGATCTTTATCTGATCCTCAATCACACTGATTTGTCAGAGTTGAGTCCAGCATCTTAACTGCTGATCTCCAAGACTTTGAGGGTTGGGGCCAGGCCAGTGGCGCAGCAGTTAACTTCGCACGTTCCGCTTCTTGGCGGCCCAGGCTCCGCCAGTTCAGATCCCAGGTGCAGACATGGCACCACTTGGCAACAGCCATGCTGTGGCAGGCGTCCCACATAGAAAGTAGAGGAAGATGGGCATGGATGTTAGCTCAGGGTCAGTCTTCCTCAGCAAAAAGAGGAGGATTGGCAGCATTTAGGTCAGGGCTAATCTTCCTCAAAAAAAAAAAAAAAAAAAAAAAAACCTTTGAGGGTAAAAACCAGCCATAGACAGAGGGACAAACACAACCCTCATAGCTGGGAAGACAGGCCCACTGCAGGTCACACCTGGCCTTAGCCTAAGCACTTCAGAATTGGAGATCTAGAAGTTAAATAGAATCCCCAGGGTCCCTTTGGCAAGAATGTGGGAAGATATGGGACATCACCCCAGGCTGTGTCATTCTTTCATTCCCAAAGGACCCTGATGTTGGATAACCTAATTCCCAGGAATCTTCTGCCCCGAGAAATAAATCCTCCCAGCTGGTGCTACACTACACACCTGACCCCGCAGCGGCTGAACTCCATTCTCCAGCTACACACTAAGCCTGAGTGCGTTTCATTCCACCTCAAGTCCAGCACTGAAGCCTTCTCCACCAGCAGGGCTAAGCACCTAGCTGTAGAGGCCTGAGGTAACCCCAGTCAGGTAGCAATGCTGTCTCATAGTGATCTATCTCCAGGAGAAAATTTGCCACGGAGATACTTTCATGCCCAATGTGGAAAACCAAAACATAGGGATTAGACTGGAAACTGCTGCCTCTTTTGTTTTTTCAAGACTCATTTTTTTCCTGCTTCTTGAGAGCCGTGCTCACTGAGAGTGTACAGTTGTACCCCAGATCCTAGTTCCTAAGTCTGTCCCTTAGTAGGCGCTCAGTCATGTTGGCTGGCTAGACAGATGGACAGATGAACGTTGGTGGGAAATCTTGTCTACACAAAGTTGGCCATATCACGCAGGTCTGCCAATAGGGTTCATGTTCTTTCTACAAACCACATTGTAGAAACCACTGTGAAGTGGTAAGGAAAAATATGTGTATGGGGGAGTGTAGGGAGAGGGTAGGATAGCCGACCGTTTCTTGAGCATCTACTGTACACCTGGTATCTAATATAATTTATCTTTTTCATTTAATCCAAGAAGCTTACAACAAAGACAAAAATGAGAAAAACTGATGGTCAGCACCCTGCCCAAGGTCACACAGGCAGCTAGCAGAAGAGCTGACCCCCTAAACCTGTTCTGTCTGACTCCAGAACCCGAGCTCACCTCCCTCCTCCCATCAAATGTTGGCGTGATGTTGGTCAACACAAGCATATATTTTCACCCATGTGAGTTCTGGCAAGCACTCAATAGGACATCACTTGGGTAAACTCAGAGACCTGCAGCCCACGTCAGTACAGGATTAATTCCAAGAGATGGGAGAGTGCTGCCATGGGAGGGTGGGGCCAGCACCTTCCTGGGCTCGCAGAAAACAGAGCCCCAGGCCATGAAGGTGGATGATTAAAAATCACTGCTAACTGCTTTTGACTTGGCTTATGTCTCAGCGTAGGTTCTAGTTTTATCATCCTCAACAAAATACAAAGTCACCAGCAAAACACACGATACCACACTCAAACCAAGTCAGAGTCTTAGCTCTTGAGGAATTTGCTGCTGTCATTGGTGCCGCTGAGTGGATTTTGACTCCTAGGGACCCTGTGGACAGCAGAGTGGAACCCTGCCCGGTCTTTTGCACCATCCTCTCACCTTCTGGCGCTCTATCAGAAAATGCTCTGCTGCTATTCGTAGGGTTTTCAGGGCCAACTTTTTCAGGAGTGGGTGGCCAGTTTCTTCTTCTTAGTCTGTCTTAGCCTGGAAGCTCCACTGAAACCTGTCCACCAGGGGTAACTCTGCTGGAGTTTGAAATACCAGTGGCATAGCTT